AAATCATAGAATGGCCCGGGTCGAAAAGGACCGTAATGCCCATCTCGTTGGTGCTACGAGCGCCAGACCAGGCTGCCTCCCAGGCTCAGGTCCTGCAGTAGCAAGAAGAGGCTTTTTGAAGCTGATGCCCTGAGCCCCCCCTCCCGCAGCCGCCACTCCGCTTCTTGTGAAACCGTGCCGCCTTTATTCATGAAGGAGCCCATTCCTGGCTTATGACATAAAAACACGATGTTTGCTGCCATCTCCCTCCAATCAGAGCTCCCCGGGTGCCTCGTGCCCTCCAAGTGATGCGCCGGGGCCGTTCCAAAGGTCACCGTGTGACGCAGCAAAGTTCAGCCACGGCTGTTTTCCCACTGATGGCAGCAGTGCCGAGTCCCGCTGCAGACACCGGAGCGTGCCGGGAACCCCGTGCCAGCAGCAGAACCTGCAGGGAGAGGGGCTGGTGGATCAGCCAGATATCAGCAATAACTGCTCTGGGCTGGGGCCGGGCATGGGGCAGGGCTGAGGACTGTGGAGGAAAGAATGGACCAGAGGTGCGAGCAGGAAACCCCCTATGCAGAGTGGGCCACCTCCCCCAGCGAACACCGCGCACCCATCTGGTTGACCCCAAGCTCTGCTCTGCCTCCTTGAAGGTTGAACGCAGCTCTGCTCAGCCCCATCCCCTCCATCACCAGGTGCTCCTCCAGCCCAGAGGGTCTGGCCCAGCACTGTGCTGTGCTCCTCCACGCGTCCTTTGAGGCTGCCCACTCCTCAAGGCGGTTGCTGTGGTTCGGTTCTCCTCCTCCTGCTCTGCGGTTCCCAATTGCTCTGGCTGTGCTCTCACACCAGATGTGTTTTTTTCCCCCCCATTTCGTAACTGCAGTCACCGAGATAATAGCAAAGCAGATAACAGCCCATGAGCTCTCTTGTCTCCTCTGCCAGCTGTTCTGTTCTTTCCAGAGAAAATCTTCCATCACTCAGCTCTTTCATGAGCTGCTGCCTCCCCAGCACAGCGCTTCACTGGAGGGATGCTCCCCCCCAAGTCAGAGAAGTCCCCCAGCACTCCTCTATGCTGCCTGAGCGCTCTGCTCTTCCCCTGTCCCAAGCAGCAGAGCAGCCCCACGACGTCCCTTCGGCCTTTCCATCGGTCTGTCCATCCATCCATCCCATCAGGATGCGTGCAGGACTGCCTGCCCGCTGCCCAACCATCCACAGCGCGGTGCCGGGTGCCGGTGCTCCCACATCTCCCCAAGGTGCCCTTTGTTCCGGCCTGATGAAGCCCCATCCTTGGGGGAAATCTAATTGCACAAAGGTTAATTGCTGTCTCTGCACTTGTGGGACCTGCGGCCGAAAGTTGCCGGCACACGTTTCTGACTCAGCGGAGCGGTTCTGCGCTCAGCCACGCTGCCCTGCGGCGCTGACATCGCCCCTCTCCTCCTCCTCCATGACGCTGTGAGCTCAGCACGAGGATCCTGCTCCCGTGGATGGGGTGCCCACGTCTGTGAGGGTCAGGGAATGGGGGCTGTTGGTGGGAAGGGGCCTCACCAGCCTCAGCGGGGGCACAACAGTGCGAGCGGGGCTCGGTTCGGCCCTATTAATTCTGGGAGGTGGGGAGGGCTTGGTGGCATTCCATAGACAGAGAGACCTCGGTGCTCCTGGGGCTGTGGCTGCAGAAGGAGCAGCGTTGGCGCCTGCAGCACGGGGTGCGGAGCCGCAGTGCGGGGCACGTGGCAGCCAGCCCCCCCCTGCAGCACTGCCACAGCACAGACCCAGAAATGTGTCCCCGTAACGGTGCTGACAAAAGGATGACGGACACTCCTGGCTGCGCTCGATTCGCTCAGCCCTTCCAGCCTCGGCCACACCACCGAGATATAATTGGGGATTGTCCTCCCGCCTCCTGTATTCATTTGGAGCAGCAAAGAAAGAAGAAAGAATTTTATTTTTTTTTTGCATTTTTCACACTTTTTGGCGGTGTCACAAAGCCCAGAGGAGCGCTGGGGCCAGAGGGGCGTCCCGTGCTCCCCAGGCGGCACCCGAAGCACCGCGCGGCGCCGCAGCCACCGCCACGTGTGAGCTGTGCACGTTGGGGCCAGCAGCGCAGCGCAAGTAGGGCAGCCCAAAAAAGCCCCAAAAAAGTCCCAGAAAAGGACTTCATCCTCTGCGTAATCAGCAGCAATCAGCAGCACGCGGTGCTGTGCTGAGAGGAGAGGCCTCGGGGGACCCACAGCCGCTCGCAGCGCCCGGCGAGCCGCCCAAAGCTCCGCTGCTCCGTTTCCAGCACTGCTGGCATGCAGCTCGGCCTGCCCTGCTTGCCAGCAATGCAGGAACGCAAAGCCCCAGATCTGCCCCCCAGGAAGGCCGTGTGTCACAGCCTGCAGGCAGCGCCGGCGGCGCCGGCAGGAAGCGGCTTTGCAAGAGGAGCTGCAGCACATCTGCCGGCCGTCAAGAAAATCACTTTCCCTGGAAAGCGAAGCGCGGGGGCCGCCGGCATGCAAGTAGGGCAGCAGATGGGCCTGAGAAGAGGGGGGGCCCAAAGCCACCCCTGACACCATTGAAGGGTTTGCTGCTCCCCATGGCACGGCTGGGCCTCGGCTCGGGGGGGCAGGGGCATGGGGACGGCGGAGACGTTGGGGCTGAGCCAGTGGTGGCACCGCAGGACGTCAGCTGAGGGATGCTGGGGTGTGAGGGGCAACTCCTGCCGGGCTGCAGTGTGAACCCAGTGGGCCAGCACTGGGATGCTCAGCGTGAGTGAAATAAATGGAAAATCAGAGGGATTGAGGCATCTCTGCGGCTGCGGTGCTGGCGCTCCCCAGACACAGACTGTGCCCCTGCCCGGCGCTCGGTGTGCTGCAACCTGGGGTGCAGGTCTGCCTCCCAACACACACAAACGTCTCAGCACCAGGCTGCACGCGTGGCTCCTGCCCCACAGCATCACCTTCCCCTGGCTGTGAGCCCACAGCATGGCTTAACGAGAGCTGGGATCCTGCCTGGAGCTCCAGCTGGTGGCGGTGCTGCTGGGCACCGTGCGGCACGGCGTGGCACAGTGCCGTATGGAACTGCATGGCACGGCACAGCCTGGCACAGCGCTGCATGGTTCCTTGTGGCACAGCACGGCACGGCACAGCCTGGCACAGCGCTGCACCTTGTGGCACATTACAGTGCCACCATGCTGCCACCAGGCGGGCACAGCCAGGCAGGAGTTTCCCCACAGAAGTTCGGGACGGAGCACCGGCGCTTCAGCTGCCCACCAAATTCCCCCCAAATTCCCATTCCCTGCGGCAACAAAAGCCAAAGGAGAGGCTCCCCCCAGCTCCATGCTGCGGGCTGCAGAGCAGCACTTGGCTCCCACACTGGGAAAATCCTTTCCCCCCCCCCTTCCCCCCTTCACACCGCCTGCGCGTGATTCCTCGGCGCGGGGGTGTCAGCACTGCTCCCATCTGCTGTGCTCTGAGTGCTCATCCCTGCGCCGGGGATTTCACCGCCAACCGCATTGCGTAACCACCAAGGGGGACCACATCCCCCATCCTCCTCCATCGTCCTCCCAACAGGACACCCCTGTGGTCGGGCCGTCAGCCCTCCTGCACGGAACCGTCCTCAGCTCTGCGCCGCGCTGCTCAGTGCTCACCATAACATCCATGCGCTCCCACCGCCGGCTCCAGCCCAAACCCAAACGCAGCCCCCCCCCCCCCCCCGGTCCCCTCCCACCAAAATCAGGGCACAGCATGCAGTGCCCATCCCAACTCCCCCCCGAGCACCTCCTGGTGCTGCTGCTCATCTCCCTCCCCCCTCAGAGCTGTGATCTGGGGCACGGGTTTAACTCGGCACCTGCGGCACCGGGATGCAACTCGCTGCGTTATCTGCGTCTGCCATGCGCGCTGTGGGACGCGGGAGCTCTGCAGGTGTGTGGGACCCCACAGCTTGGAAACAGGAAATCTGCAGCACCCATGATGTTCATCTCCCCACATCTGCAGCCTGCCTGCGCCTCCCATCACTGCCCCGATGCGTTCTTACCCCAACGCACTCCTGCCCCAACGCACCGCTGTCCCAAGGCATTGCTTCCCCAAAGCATCCCTGACCCAATCCACTCCTGCCCCAATTCATTCTTACCCCAATCCATTCCTGCCCCACTGCCTCCCTGCCTCAACATATTCCTTCCCCAACACATTCTTACCCCAATACACTCCTGCCCCAAAGCATTCCTGCTTCCTGTCCACATCCTGCTGTCACCCCACTGCACCCCAGGAGCACCTGCCCAGCTGTGCACCCATCACTGCCCCCCTCATTGCCCCAATAACTTTGCACCCCAATAACCCGGCTACCTCAATAATGAGGCACAAAACAGCCTGGCATGCCAACAGCCAAGCATCCCATTAACCGAGCTCCCCAATAAACCAGCTTCCCAATAACATGGGCACTCCAATGACCTGGGAGCCTCAAGAACCAAGAGCCCCAATGATCTGGAATTACATCAGTGGGGCACCCCAGTAACCAGGCAGAGGCCATATATAAACCGAGAACCCAGCAGCACCTCAGTAGGTGGTGCACCACAACAACCTGGCACCCAGCAACTTTGCACCCCAGTAACTGGGCGCCCCAATAGCCTCTGATCCCAATAACTGGGCACCCCAGCAACTGGGCGCCCCAACAGTGGCACGATGATCACCTCGCCAACCAATAACCCGAGATTCCAACAACCCGGATACCCCAATACATTTGCACCCCCAAAAAACAGACACCCCGTGAGGGGGGGGGGGGCGGGGGGCTGCGTGCCTCAGTTTCCCCGTTTGCTGCCCCTCACCCGGCACACAGAGCCCGGCGGTTCGATTCCCCCCACCACTGTTGAGGAGGAACCGCCTGATCTCTGCAGCCATTGCGCACGGACGGCAGAGCCGAACGCCGCCACCACCCGCGATGCTCCGCTCCGCTCCGCCCCGTCCCGCCCCCACCGTCACCTTCCGGCCCACCCCGGCTGTGGCTCCGCCGTCATCGCACCGGTACCGCCCCCTCCCCCCCCCCCCCACCCAGCGCCGACAGCGATGCAGCGGGTGAGACCCCATCGCGATACCCGCGCCCCGTCCCGGTACCCACACCGCATCCCTGTACCCAAACCTCATCCCGATACCGACACCCCATCCCGGTACCCAGACCGCATTCCTAAACCTACACCCCCATTCCGGAGCCCGTACCCCATCCCTATGCCCACAGTCCATCCTGATACCGACATCGCGATACCCGCTCCCCACCCTGGTACCCAAACCCCCCTCCCAGTACCCACACCCCAGCCCGGCACCCACCCCCTAACCCCATACCCATACCCCATCCCAATACCTGTGCCCCATCCTGATAACCATACCCCATCCCAGTACCCACACCCCATCCAGATACTCCCCCCCCCCCATCCTGATACCCTCACACCACCCCGATACCTGTACCCCATCCCAGTACCCCATCCTGATACCCACTTCCTATCCCGATGCCTGCACCCCATCCCAATACCCACACCCCATCCTGGTACCCCCACCCCATCCCAGCACCCACAGCCCTACACAACCCAGGTCTTGGGGAGGCCTCTGGGCACGGTGGGGTCCTGGTGCCAGCCGTGCCCTCAGCCCCCCCACTTCCCCAAAGGCTGCGGTGGCATTTGAAGACGTGGCCCTGTATTTCTCTGCTGACGAGTGGGCACTGCTGGCACGGTGGCAGCGGGAGCTGTACCAGGAGGTGATGATGGATAACTACGACCTGGTGGCGTGTCTGGGTAAGGAGCAGTGCTGCGCAGCCCCCCCCAGTGCCCCCGGCCCCAGGTGTGCCCCTGCTCCCACTGCATCCCAGTTTGCTGCCATGACTGAGGGTGGCACAGCAGCCTCCTGCACTGCAGTCCCCAGCTGGCATCTCATGGGCACCTCGGTGATGGTGACGCCCCCAGGGTGCATCCCCAGGGTCTCAGTGACACCTCTGAGGGCAGCTCTGGGGGCTGGGTGATGGCGATGCCCCTGTGGGTGTCTCTGGAGGGTGCTGAGGACTCTCACTTCCCCAGACTCCCTTGACATCAAACCCCTCAACGTCCACGGAACGGATCCTGGGGAGACGTCAAATGGAGGGGACAGAGGGCGACTGGACCCTGCAGGCAGCGGTGAGAGCAATGGGGCAGAGCTGGGGGCAACAGGATGGGGGGGGGCTGTTGGGCACATAGCGGATGTGAGCCCTGTGCTGTGCCATGAGCCATGCCATGAGCTGTGCCATGAGCTGTGCCGTGAGCTGTGCCATGAGCTGTGCCATGAGCTGTGCCATGAGCCATGAGCTGTGCCATGAGCTGTGCCGTGAGCTGTGCCATGAGCTGTGCCATGAGCTGTGCCATGAGCCATGAGCTGTGCCATGAGCCATGCCATGAGCTGTGCCATGAGCTGTGCCATGAGCCGTGCCATGAGCTGTGCCATGAGCTGTGCCATGAGCCATGAGCTGTGCCATGAGCCGTGCCATGAGCCATGAGCTGTGCCATGAGCTGTGCCATGAGCCATGAGCTGTGCCATGAGCCGTGCCATGAGCCATGAGCTGTGCCATGAGCCGTGCCATGAGCCATGAGCTGTGCCATGAGCTGTGCCATGAGCCGTGCCATGAGCCGTGCCACATCTATGTGCAAGAGGGGGTTCTACAGGTGCCCCCCTGCTGTGTGCCCACCCGGGGCATCCCATGGAGATGTGGCCCTGACCCAGCACCTCCACTCCCTGCAGCCCCCTGGGACAAGGACACACCGGGTGTCGCCATCCAGGGACACCGTGTGCCGCCGGAGCCGGGATGCCCCCCCCTGCACCCTGAATGGGGGGAGCGGGAGCCGGCAGGGGCCGTAGGGCCTCAAATCTGCAGGGTCTGCGGGCAGAGCTTCGAGGACGAGGCGGCGCCGAGCACGCACCGCTCAGAGCACGGGGACCCGACGCCCGGCCACGAGTGCGTGGCGTGCGGCAAAGTGTTCCGGCACCGCCGCAACCTCCTGGTACACAAGAAGCAGCGGGGCCAGCGGCGGCACTCCTGCGGCGAATGCGGCCGCAGCTTCTGCCTGAAGGGCGACCTGCTGCGGCACCGGCACCGGCGCGACCCGCAGGAGCGCGGCGAATGGCGACCGGCGAGGCGGCAGTGCCCGGAGTGCGGGCGGCACCGCGAGGACGAGCTCAGCCCCAGCCGGCACCGCGCGCGGCACGGCGAGGAGCGGCCCTTCGCCTGCGGGCGCTGCGAGCGCCGCTTCTCCTGGAAGGAGAGCCTGCAGCTGCACCTGCGCAGCCACGCGCCCGAGCGCCGCCACAAATGCCAGCAGTGCGGCCGGGCGTTCAGCAGGGGCAGCAACCTGCTGCTGCACCAACGCGTGCACACCGGGGAGCGGCCCTACGCCTGCGCGCAGTGCGACAAAACCTTCAGCAGCAAAGCGAGCCTCACCACGCACCGCCGCCTGCACCGCCGCCGCGGGACCTTCGTCTGCGCGCTGTGCCGCCTCGGCTTCGGCTCCAAGAGCAAACTGAGGCTGCATCTGCGCGGCCACGGCGACGGCGGCGGCCTCGGGGTGGGGAGTGGGCAGCCCTGAGCCCGGAGGGCCTTGTGGGATGCCCCAAAGGACCCCGCGAGACCCACGAAGGGCCGTACGAGGTGGCCCAAAGGACTCCGTAGGATCCCCCCAAAGGACGCTGTGGAATCCCCTGGAGAATCTCATGGGATCCCCCGAAGAACCCTATTAGTTCCTCCAAGGGACCCAATGAGGCTCCTGGAAGGACCCTATGGGATTCCCCTAAGGACCCCATAGGACGTTTGGAGTTCTCCTGAAGGGCCCTATTGGATCCTCCAAACGGCACTGGGATCCCCCAAAGAATCTCATGGGATCCCCCAAAGGACATTTGGAGTTCTCCTGAAGGACCCCACTGGATCTTCCAGAGGACCCATTGAGACTTCTTGAATGACCTTCTGGGATCCCCCAAAGGACCTCAGGAGACCCCCTGAAGGAGCTGTGTGGGATCCCCCCAAAGGACACTTGGAGTTCTCCAGGGGGGCACTGATTTGGATCCTCTAAAGGACATTGTGGGATCCCGCAAAGAATCCTATGGGATCCCCTGAAGAACACCGTGGGGCCACCCTAAGGACACAGTGGGATCCCAGAGGACCCTCTGCAGCAGTGCCCACCCCACCTGCCCCACGGCCTTGGGGCACCCCTGGCGCGTGGTGCTCTGTGCCATGGGGCGAAGGCAGATGTTGGTGGGCTCCTGCCCCACACCTGTGCCCTCGGCCCACCCCATCCGCTCACCCCCCAGTATGGGGGTCTGCTGAGGCCTCTTCGTTTTTGGGGCCGTTCTGTGGCTCAGGACGACCCTTTTGGAGATGTGCAAAGCCGGGTGCGGCGCCCATGGGGTCTCCAGCTTGGAGAACCCTACAGAGACAGAGATGGGGTCCCGTCCTCGTGCCCTGCGCCCCTCTTTGCCCCGTGCCCCCCCCACTGTCTCCTGTCCTCTCCGTGCCCTGCGGTGTCCCCGCATCCCGCACCGGGCGCTGCGGGCGGGGCGCTGCGGGCGGACTACAGCTCCCGGCACGCACCGGGCAGCCTTTGTCTGCGCTCCAGCACCTCCCGAACCCCGCGGCCGTCGGCGGTGCCCCGCGGCAGCCCCCCGAGCGGCGCCGGTGAGAGCAGGGGGGGGGGCGAGGGAGCGAGGGAGGGGGGGGTCACAGCGGGGGGGGGGGAGAGCGGAGGAGGGGGAGGGGACGGGGCGGGGGAGAGCGGCGCGGCGCGGGGGGGTGCGGGGATGGTGCGCGGCTGTCACTGTCCCCAGAAATAGGACCGGCGGCACTAAAGCACGGACCCAAATAAAGGTGCCCCCCCCCCCCACCTCCCGTGTGAGTTCTGGGTGAGCCCCAAGGGGGGCGGACAGGAGTGCAGAATTAGAATTGAACAAACCATGGTTGGGTTGCAAGAGACCCCACCGCCCCACCCCTGCCGTGGGCTGAGTGCCCCCCACCCCTTCAAACTGCCCAGGGTCCCCCCACGGCTTTGGGCGCCCCCAGGGCTGGCGCTGCTCCGTGTCCCCCGTGCCAGGGGATGGGATGAGGATGGGATGGGATGGGATGGGATGGGATGGGATGGGATGGGATGGGATGGGATGGGATGGGATGGGATGGGATGGATGGGATGGGATGGGATGGGATGGCATGGGATGGGATGGGGATGGGGATGGGGATGGGGATGGGGATGGGATGGGGATGGGGATGGGATGGGATGGGATGGGATGGGATGGGATGGGATGGATGGGATGGGATGGGATGAGGATGGGATGGGATGGGGATGGGAGGGGATGGGATGGGATGGGATGGGATGGGATGGGATGGGATGGGATGGATGGGATGGGATGGGATGGGATGAGGATGGGATGGGATGGGGATGGGAGGGGATGGGATGGGATGGGATGGGATGGATGGGATGGGATGGGATGGGATGGGATGGGATGGGATGGGATGGGGTGGGATGGGATGGGATGGGATGGAGATGGGATGGGGATGGGGATGGAGATGGGGATGGAGATGAAGATGGGGATGGGGATGGGATGGGATGGGATGGGGATGGGATGGGATGGGATGGGGTGGGATGGGATGGGATGGGATGGGATGGGATGGGATGGGGATGGGATGGGATGGGATGGGATGGGATGGGATGGAAAGAGGGGAATTGTGACCAGCATAGAAAAAGGACCATTCCCAAAATATTCATAGCCCTGTTGTGCCCACTGCCCAGCACCCGGCTGCCTGTGCCCAGGCTATTGTTGCAGGCATTCCCAGGACCCGGGTGGAGATTTCTTGTTGCCACCTTGCAATGGAGCCAGGGGAGAACCCCCAGGATGGGAGGCACAGGGGAGTCGCCAGTCCCCATGGCACAGGTGAGCTGCAGGACCCTCGGGTGGGGGTTCATCCCTCAGTGCCCAGCATAGTTCTCACACAAGAAACCCAAAAGCGGCTTTCTCTTCCCCAGAAAAGAAGTGGGCTGGTGTGAAGCATGAGATTGTGGTGAAAATGGAGCCAGAGAATGAGTCCTGCATTGGGTACCTGCAGGACCTGGGGGCACGGGCCAGCGTCCCCAGTGTTCTCAGTACCAGTAAGTGACCGCAGCAGGCAGCTGGGCAGGGCTGGGTGCTGGGCAAGCCCTGCCAGCTGCCTGGGGACAAAGTGCCATCCCGTTCCATGGGGACGTGGATGAGCTCCACTGCATCTTTCCTTCCACAGGAGTGAAAATGGAGGTGGTGGTCAAAGCGGAACCTGAGGATGACTCGCACAGCAACCACTGCTACCAGGAGGAGGAGGACCCCCCCGACCCCACTGCTGGTGAGCAGGGCTGGGTGCCCACAATGGCCGGGGCCGTGTGATGGGGTTCCTGCATGTGCCCCAGCCCTGTGGGCACCCCGGGATGGTGACGCTGTCCTGGGGGTGGCGGCACTCTGGGGATGGTGGCACCTCCTGGGGGTCACACAGGGCCCAGCCTGCTCCACACCAGCTGGCACAGATGCACTCTCTGCCCATGCAGGCGATGCCAAGCCTGAGCTCATCGTGAAGGTGGAGCCGGAGGAGGTGGTGTGCATCGTGTGTCCCCAGGGCCCAGGTGACAAAGGCGCTCTGGCTGAGTGCAGCTGCACCCTGTGGGGCTGCGTGGGGATGGGGGCTGTGGGTCCGGCAGCGACGCGCTGGGCCGCCTTGCGCTGTGCATCCAGCTGGGTGCCCGGGGTGGCTCTGTGCCATACCTACGACACACAGCCTTCCCTTCTGTGGGCAGATGGCGAGAAGCATCCCAAGGAAGAGCTGGAGGATGTGGAACCAGAGAGGGCCCTGCAGGCTGTGCCTGGGCACCGCATCATCCACGTGGGCACGGGCACAGCGCCCGTCCCACCGGCGAGCGCCGCCGGGCACCGACCCACCACGGCCCCCAGCACTGAGGCGACCCGGCCGCCCCGCGGCACCGAACGTCCCTTCGGCTGCGGTGAGTGTGGGAAGAGCTTCCAGCACCGAGGGAACCTCATCACCCACCTGCGTGTGCACACCGGGGAGAGGCCGTTCGCCTGCGGCGTCTGCGGGAAGAGCTTCAGCCAGAAGGGCGACCTGATGCGGCACCAACGCACCCACACGGGAGAAAAGCCCTTCGAGTGCACCGTGTGCGGGAAGAGCTTCTGCTCCAAGCAGACCTTCGTGCTGCACCAACGCATCCACACCGGGGAGAAGCCCTTCTCCTGCGGCGACTGCGGGAAGAGCTTCAACCGCAAGGCCAACTTGGTCACGCACCAGAAGATCCACCGCGGCGAGCGGCCCTTCGTCTGCGCCGAGTGCGGGAAGGGCTTCTGCGCCAAGAAAACCTTCATCCTGCACCAGAAGATCCACGTGGGAGAGCGGCCCTTCGGCTGCCCCCAGTGTGGGAAGAGCTTCAGCCGCAACGGCGACCTGACGCGGCACCACCGCATCCACACCGGCGAGCGGCCCTTCGCCTGCGCCGACTGCGGGAAGAGCTTCAGCCACAACGGGGAGCTGATCAAACACCGGCGCATCCACACCGGGGAGAAGCCCTTCGCCTGCGCCGAGTGCGGGAAGAGCTTCAACCGCAAGGGCACGCTCACCACCCACCGGCGCATCCACACCGGCGAGCGGCCCTTCGCCTGCGCCGAGTGTGGGAAGAGCTTCAACCTGAAGACGACGCTGATGAAGCACGCGCGCATCCACACGGGGGAGCGGCCCTTCGCCTGCAGCGACTGCGGGAAGAGCTTCAAGTACAAAGGCAACCTGCGGACGCACCGCCTGACGCACACGGTGCGGCGCGTTTACCCCTGCACGGAGTGCGGCCGGGTCTTCGGGCACCGGAAGGAGCTGAGCGGGCACCAGGGCGCGCACGCTGGGGAGAGGGTCCCGTCCTGTTATCGGGACGGGGGATCCTTCCGACCCTTCGTCCCCGCACGCCCGCTGCTCGTGGCCCGCACGCAGACGCAGCTGCCGCTCTCCGAGTGCGAGCAGGGGGAGCGCACGGACGGAACGGGGTGCGGGAGCGGCAGGAAGGAGCCGCGCGGCGGCGGCGGCGGGGGGTGCGCGTGGAGCGCAGCCGAGGGACGGTGCCCTCCGGCGGGCAGCGCGCGGCGCTCTGAGCGCTGTGTGCCGTAATGTCACCGAGCGGCGGGCGCAGAGCACCCGGAACGCACATCTTCCCACAGCCCGACGCCACATCCAACCCGACCTTCACCGCCTCCGGGGATGGGGACCCCGCGGCGCGTCCCGCCCCCCCAGCGCGAAGAGACCCTCGTAACCCCCAGCTGCCCGCGGAGAGGGGCCGCGCTCCGGGGGCTGCGGTGTATGGGAGCCCCCAGGAGCCTCGGGGAGCGGGTAAACCTCGGCGACCGCGCGCCCTTAACGCCCCGCTCACGGTTTTGGTTTTTTTTTTCTGAGCTGGAAAAGAATAAAAAGCGAAACCGAACGCGGTGAGCGGATGTGCCGGCAGGGTGTGCTGCTGCCCCAGCGAAGGGACGCGCGAGCAAATCGCTGCAGCCGCACCAGCGCAGGCGGCTCCGCGCCTTTGTCCTGCTCTCCAAATGCCGCGCGCGTTGCTCACCGCCCCACGCCGTGTCCTCCGGCCGCGCGGTGTCCCGTGGCCACCAGAGCTCGTGAGAAGCCGTGCCAAAGCCCTGTGCCCTCAGGGTGGGCCTCCCACCACCAGGCTTTCGGCTCCCATCCATCCCAAGCCTTTCCACGATCCCAAGGTTTATCACACGCTCTGTCCTGGCAGCGCTGCCCCGGTGTCTGATTTTTTCCCCACGCTCTCAAGGCTCACTTGCACTGTGGGGATGCACTGGGGGGCTCGGGAGCATCTGGCTGGAGGGCTGTGCTGCCAGGCGCTGTGAACAGTGAACAGAGGAAGTGAATGTGTGAACACAGAGCCGCCTGCCTCCTCCAGCAGGTTTTCTGGTTACTTTCCAGAAAATTCCAAGGCATGGGAGTCTGGAGCAGCGACAGGGCCGGGTGTGAATCAACAGGGCCTTTCCAACTCAATGTCCTTTCCAGGTTCAGGAGGAGAGGAGGTCCTGTGACTTCAGCCCCTCCAGCAGAGCCGCCCCCAGGCACTGCAGCACTCGCTGCCCCCTGCTGCACTCTCCCCCGTGTGCCCCACGCTGTCCCGTGCTGGGGGCCCCCGCCTGGACCCGCTGCTCCCTGTGCAGCCGCACCACTGCTGAGCACAGGGCAGGATCCCACTCGTCCCCCAGCTGGCAGCGCTGTGCCAGCACAGCCCGCACAGCCGCAGCCTTGGTCCCGTGGCCGCAGCCCCTCCGTGTCCCTCGCAGCCCAGCAGCACCAGAGCCCTTCTGCAGAGCTGCTCCCAGCCGTGCCCAGCACAGGCCCTGCTGTGCCAGCACCGGAGCGCCGCTCCCACAGCTCCTCTTCCTCAGCACGGCACCGAGCATCGGGCTGGGGGCGATGGGGGCCGGGACACAGCCTGCTGAGGACGGGCTGTTGGGGGGCTGCAGGGAACGGGCCGTGGTGCAGCTGCCCTTGGTGCCGAGCTGAGGCTCTCAGTTTCCTTCTCTGCAGTGCCCGGAACGCGGTGCGTTTACAGGAAGAGGATTCTGTGCCGCCTTCGGCCTCACCCTGCGTGTCTGTTGCTGATAGCCTGCTCTCTTGGCTCGGGGCAGCGCAGGGCAGCGCAGGGCATCTTGCTGGGGAGGATCCAACCTGCCCCTCCCCTGGCGCAGCCCGAGGCCGCGGGCACTCAGAATGGAAGCGTTGCTTTGGTATTCCCTTCCGAGAGGAGCCCTCCCCGACTGCCCTGGGCTGACTGAGGCTCTCCCTGCTGCTCCCTGGGCCGGCGCCGTCCCCCGGCCCTTCTCTGTCCCTCGGCAGCCCCCGCTCAGCGCTGCCCCATCGCCGTCCCCATCCCGCTGTGCTCGAAGTCCGTCCCGGCTCACAGCACCACAGCCCCGAGCGCGGCCTCAGCCCCTCGCTGCACTCCTTCCCCTCGGCCACCTCCTCCTCCTTCCCAGCTCCCTGTCCCCAGTTGCGAGGACACAGGACGCTGCCGCCTGCGCTCCCCCCTCCCTTGCACATGGCTCCCAGGGACAAAAGCTTTCTCAGCACTCTCTGCTGTGCCCACATGGCAGCCTCCCACTGCCCTGCATGGAAGGACAGCGATGGGTACAAGTCCCCGCTCAGCCCCATCCCCATCTCCTCATGCAAAGCAGATCTTTGCTCCCCGGCTCCGTTTGCTGGTGTCTGCGCAGTTTCTCGGCCAGCAGTGGCTCCGCACAGGAGCTCCTGCAGCACTTTGCACGGGGCTGTTTGTGCAGCAGCGCTATCTGTGATCCCAGCACTGCCCTCCTCCCGACGCCGCCTCTAAAAGCGCTGCTGAGCTGCACAGCGCTTCCAGCCCCGGCGCTGCTGTGCGGGACGAGAGCAGCAACAGCACGAGTGCAGCAGTCAGAGCTGGGACACAGCGCAGCGCTGCTTTGGTGAGTTGCTGCAGCTCTGCTGCCACTGCCGGAACAAATTCCAAGGCAGCAGAATCTGCTTTCAGGGAGTGGGTTCTGACTTCATGAATGAGGGTCAGCCAACATTTCTTTCCAAAGACAAAGTCAATGCAGATGGGTAACTTTGATGCCACTTGTCTTTCTCCATGCACACGCGGCTGTGGGACTGACCTGAGTCCCCAGAGATCATCTGTGTCACCTTCATGGGCACAGGGAGGGAAGCAGGGCAGCTTTGTGCCCCTCTCACTCAACATCTCTCTCCTCCCAGGCTCCCCGTGTGAGTGTGAGCGCTCTCCCGATGGCAGGACGTCACAGCACAGGTGAGCCGCTCAGCTCTGCACGCAGGCAGGCGCAGCCCATCGGGCTCCTGGCTGAGTGCTGGGGAGCACGGGGAGTTCATGTGGGCTTCGTGGGAGGCCGTGGCCTCGGGGGCGTCCTGAGGCTGCCTCCCATCTCTGAGGGCTGAGAGCTCACAGAGCGAGGCTGAGGGCGGACGGGGCCGAGCGAGCGCTGCGTGCCTGCTGGCAGCCGGCTCCAGCCCGTGCCCCGTCCCGTCCCCGCAGGGCACAGCGGTGGCTCGGGGACACCTTTCCTCGTGGCTCCGGCACTCCGTGGCCAGCAGGGGGTGTCCCGGCACCGCGGGGCTCACACTCGTCTCTGCTTGGTCCACAGCGTCCCAGCTGAGGATCCTGCTGATGGGCAAGATGGGAAGTGGCAAGAGTGCGACAGGGAACACCATCCTTGGGAGGGAGGCATTTCCTTCTGCACTGTCAGCACAGTCAGTAACCCAGGAGTGCAAGGAAGCTGAAGGCCTCTTTGCTGGAAGATCGATTGTTGTTGTTGACACTCCTGGGTTCTTTGACACAAAAGAAGGCAACCTGAAAACTGCTGAAAAGATTAAGAACGCCGTCCAGCATCTCCCAGGTGTCCATGCCATCATCCTGGTGATGCGGCGGAGCCAAACGCCTGAGGAAGATCAGGAAGTGGCTGAGTGGGTGGCCAAGATTTTCCATACTAATGCAGAGAAGTACACAATCCTGTTATTCACCCGAGCGGAAGAGCTGGAGCATCCAGAAGACCTGAGGGTTTACATAGAAAACCGCCCATACCTCAAGGGTTTGGCAGCCAAGTGTGGACATCGGTACATTGGATTCAACAACAGAGCCACTGGGGAGGCGAGGGATGGGCAGGTTGCAGAGCTCATCAGCGTGATTGATGTCATGGTCGGGGGGAATCGTGATGCTCCACAGTACACGCGAGAAATGCTGCAGGAAGACATACCGATATTCTGCACAGTGCCTTGCACCATCATGTAGGCAGCGAGCGCTCGGTGTGGGAGGCGCCGTCTCCTCCGCCGTGCCGCCCCTGCTGTGCTCTGCAGACGCCGCTCTCCTTCCTCGCTCGCAGTTCCCATCCTCACCCCCGCGCCCTTTGCTTTCCCCCGCCCCGTGTCACCGCTTTCCCCACGGGCTGCAGGCGCTCCATGTGTGCGCGCTGCCCAGTCGCTCCGCTCCGCCGCTCTGGGCTCCGCCGCGCTGCCGCTCCGCTGCCCCGGCCGCTGACACGGAGGAGCCGAGACCGATGGCAACGCGGGGCTGTGAGATGCGGCCCTCGGCGAGGGCTCGGCGCGGAGCGGGGCCGCGGGCCGGGAGCCGTCGGCATCCCGCCGAGAGCCGGCGCTGCACGGAGCCGTGCGGGGCCGGGGGCTCGCGGGGCCGCTGTCCGTCCGCCGCCGTGGGACGCTGCCGGTGCCGCGGCCGCAGGGGCTCCGCGTGCAGGGCGGTGCGGGCCGTGCTGTGCTGCTGGGCCCCAAGGAGCTCTCAATAAACGCTGAACTTTGTGCGCGGTGCAGAACCTGTGCCGGATCCATCTCTCATCCACACGGGGGGTGGGAAGCGGCTGTGAGTGGGCAGGGATTGCAGAGCCGCAGGGGGTGAGGATGGGGCCCTCGGGGTCCCTCTGGTGCCCGGCAGGACTCCCCAGAGCACAGCGGGGTGGGAGCTCCCCAAGGAGGAGAGCCCGCAGCCTCCGTCCCTGCGCAGAGCTGTGTGCAGGCAGCTCCTGGGCCGCACTTTGTGCCCAGTTCCTTGTGCTGCCCCGGCAGCGCAGAGCAGAGCGCGGCTCCGTGCCCTCACGGCTCCTGCAGGGATTTGTGGTCACAGCCGATGCCCCTGGGCCTGCGCAGCTCTCTCCTCCAGCAGAGCCGCCCCAGGCACTGCAGCACTCGCTGCCCCCTGCTGCACTCTCCCCCGTGTGCCCCACGCTGTCCCGTGCTGGGGGCCCCCGCCTGGACCCGCTGCTCCCTGTGCAGCCGCACAACTGCTGAGCACAGGGCAGGATCCCACTCGTCCCCCAGCTGGCAGCGCTGTGCCAGCACAGCCCGCACAGCCGCAGCCTTGGTCCCGTGGCCGCAGCCCCTCCGTGTCCCTCGCAGCCCAGCAGCACCAGAGCCCTTCTGCAGAGCTGCTCCCAGCCGTGCCCAGCACAGGCCCTGCTGTGCCAGCACCGGAGCGCCGCTCCCACAGCTCCTCTTCCTCAGCACGGCACCGAGCATCGGGCTGGGGGCGATGGGGGCCGGGACACAGCCTGCTGAGGACGGGCTGTTGGGGGGCTGCAGGGAACGGGCCGTGGTGCAGCTGCCCTTGGTGCCGAGCTGAGGCTCTCAGTTTCCTTCTCTGCAGTGCCCGGAACGCGGTGCATTTACAGGAAGAGGATTCTGTGCCGCCTTCGGCCTCACCCTGCGTGTCTGTTGCTGATAGCCTGCTCTCTTGGTTTGGGGGCTCGGAGCAGCGCAGGGCAGCGCAGGGCATCTTGCTGGGGAGGATCCAACCTGCCCCTCCCCCGGCACAGCCCGAGGCCGCGGGCACTCAGAATGGAAGCGTTGCTTTGGTATCCCCTTCCGAGAGGAGCCCTCCCCGACCGCCCTGGGCTGACTGAGGCTCTCCCTGCTGCTCCCTGGGCCGGCGCCGTCCCCCGGCCCTTCTCTGTCCCTCGGCAGCCCCCGCTCAGCGCTGCCCCATCGCCGTCCCCATCCCGCTGTGCTCGAAGTCCGTCCCGGCTCACAGCACCACAGCCCCGAGCGCGGCCTCAGCCCCTCGCTGCACTCCTTCCCCTCGGCCACCTCCTCCTCCTTCCCAGCTCCCTGTCCCCAGTTGCGAGGACACAGGACGCTGCCGCCTGCGCTCCCCCCTCCCTTGCACATGGCTCCCAGGGACAAAAGCTTTCTCAGCACTCTCTGCTGTGCCCACATGGCAGCCTCCCGCAGCCCTGCATGGAAGGACAGCGATGGGTACAAGTCCCCGCTCAGCCCCATCCCCATCTCCTCATGCAAAGCAGATCTTTGCACCCCGGCTCCGTTTGCTGATGTCTGCGCAGTTTCTCGGCCAGCAGTGGCTCCGCACAGGAGCTCCTGCAGCACTTTGCACGGGGCTGTTTGTGCAGCAGCGCTATCTGGGATCCCAGCACTGCCCTCCTCCCGACGCCGCCTCTAAAAGCGCTGCTGAGCTGCACAGCGCTTCCAGCCCCGGCGCTGCTGTGCGGGACGAGAGCAGCAACAGCACGAGTGCAGCAGTCAGAGCTGGGACACAGCGCAGCGCTGCTTTGGTGAGTTGCTGCAGCTCTGCTGCCACTGCCGGAACAAATTCCGAGGCAGCAGAATCTGCTTTCAGGGAGTGGGTTCTGACTTCATGAATGAGGGTCAGCCAACATTTCTTTCCAAAGACAAAGTCAATGTTGATGGGTAACTTTGATGCCACTTGTCTTTCTCCATGCACACGCGGCTGTGGGACTGACCTGAGTCCCCAGGGATCATCTGTGTCACCTTCATGGGCACAGGGAGGGAAGCAGGGCAGCTTTGTGCCCCTCTCACTCAACATCTCTCTCCTCCCAGGCTCCCCGTGTGAGTGTGAGCGCTCTCCCGATGGCAGGACGTCACAGCACAGGTAAGCTGCTCCCCCCCTGCGTGCTGTTGCATCTCCTGAGGCTGCCTCCCATCTCCCCGCTCTGAGAGCCGCACAGAGCACGGCTGAGGGCGGGCGGCACAGCGGTGTGCGGTGGGTACAGCCTGAGACACAGCGCAGGGGGAAAGCCATACGGCAAGCCTTGCTGTCTCTGCGGCTGTTGCACGGAAGCCGTGCCTCACTGAAGCCGCGCAGGGCAGGGAGGGGCGGAAAAAACAACCCTGCACAAACGCTGCTGCATTTTCTGCTGAGCGCCTGAATTCTCGGAAGTGGAGCAGTTCAGCCTGGGCTTTTGCTTACTCCACGCAGTGCTGGGACTCAGGTTGCTGTGAGATCGCTTTCACTTTCTGTTCCTGCTTTTGGAGGAGCACTGGGTGCAGCCCTCTGAGCAATGCTAGAGACGGACATTCCTGGGCAGCCTCAGGGCCACGCGTTCCTCCCGATGGAGCCTGAGGCCACTGCAGGGGGGGAGCTGGGCTGCCCACAGCGTGTTGTTGGCGCTGGGGTGAAGCTGGAGCCGATCTTGTGGCAGTGAGGAGACGCTGTGGGCTGTGTGGCACCAAAGCCAGAGGAGCTGCTGCACTGGCCGCAGTCCGCAGCTGCTTCTCCACGGAGTGGGGAAGGTGGCGGTGGGAGCCGTGCTGTGAGCATTTCAGTGCAGCCGTGGGGCTTTGTGTCCCTTTTCCTGAGGATCCTTTGGTCAGAACCTTCAGTTTGGGCTTGGCTTCCTGCTGGGCACGATCAGTTTTCCTGTGGGAGAGCTGAGAGAGGGGACAGGGCCAGGAAGAGCTGAGCGAGCGCTGCGTGCCTGCTGGCAGCCGGCTCCAGCCCGTGCCCCGTCCCGTCCCCGCAGGGCACAGCGGTGGCTCGGGGACACCTTTCCTCGTGGCGCCGGCACTCCGTGGCCAGCAGGGGGTGTCCCGGCACCGCGGGGCTCACACTCGTCTCTGCTTGGTCCACAGGGTCCCAGCTGGGCATCATCCTGGTGGGGAAGACAGGGAATGGGAAGAGTGCGACAGGGAACACCATCCTTGGGAGGAAGGCATTTCATTCTGCACTGTCAGCACAGTCAGTAACCCAGGAGTGCAAGGAAGCTGAAGGCCTCTTTGCTGGAAGACCTGTTGGTGTCGTTGACACTCCTGGGCTCTTTGACACAAAAGAAGGCAACCTGACAACCGTTGAAAAGATTAAGAACGCCATCCAGCGTCTCCCAGGTGTCCATGCCATCATCCTGGTGATGCAGCTGAGCCGAATGACTAAGGAAGAGCAGGAAGTGGCTGAATGGGTGGCCAAAATTTTCCATACTAATGCCGAGAAGTACACAATCCTGTTATTCACCCGAGCGGAAGAGCTGGAGCATCCAGAAGACCTGAAGGACTTCGTAGAAAACAGCCCATACCTCAAGGGTTTGGCAAGGAAGTGTGGAAATCGATACATTGGATTCAACAACAGAGCCACCGGGGAGGCGAGGGATCAGCAGGTTGCAGATCTCATCAGCATGATTGATGTCATGGTCGGGGGGAATCGTGATGCTCCGTGTTACACACGACTAATGCTGGAGAAGGACACACGCACCTTCTTCCAGAAGTTTTGTACCATCCTGTAGGCAGCGAGCGCTCGGTGTGGGAGGCGCCGTCTCCTCCGCCGTGCCGCCCCTGCTGTGCTCTGCAGACGCCGCTCTCCTTCCTCGCTCGCAGTTCCCATCCTCACCCCCGCGCCCTTTGCTTTCCCCCGCCCCGTGTCACCGCTTTCCCCAAGGGCTGCAGGCGCTCCATGTGTGCGCGCTGCCCAGTCGCTCCGCTCCGCCGCTCTGGGCTCCGCCGCGCTGCCGCTCCGCTGCCCCGGCCGCTGACACGGAGGAGCCGAGACCGATGGCAACGCGGGGCTGTGAGATGCGGCCCTCGGCGAGGGCTCGGCGCGGAGCGGGGCCGCGGGCCGGGAGCCGTCGGCATCCCGCCGAGAGCCGGCGCTGCACGGAGCCGTGCGGGGCCGGGGGCTCGCGGGGCCGCTGTCCGTCTGCCGCAGTGGGACGCTGCCGGTGCCCCGGCCGCAGGGGCTCCGCGTGCAGGGCGATGCGGGCCGTGCTGTGCTGCTGGGCCCCAAGGAGCTCTCAATAAACGCTGAACTTTGTGCGCGGTGCAGAACCTGTGCCGGATCCATCTCTCATCCACACGGGGGGTGGGAAGCGGCTGTGAGTGGGCAGGGATTGCAGAGCCGCAGGGGGTGAGGATGGGGCCCTCGGGGTTCCTCTGGTGCCCGGCAGGACTCCCCAGAGCACAGCGGGGTGGGAGCAGCCTGGACACAGCCTGCTGAGGAGGGGATGATGCTGCTCTGGGTCTGCAGGTCTTGGTGCAGAGCGTTATCCAACACACACGCAGTCAGGATGCAGACTGAGGTCTCTTTTATTTCTAGTGCTTGGCAATCCTCCCCAAAGCACACACGCCCCCAAACAGTTTTGGGGTTATCTTTACAGGGCTGTTTACAAATCATGGTCCAAAAATATGTAATGGATTGTTTTTATTACTCTTTGCTGGGCAGGCACATTATGGCCCATCAAGAGCAAGATTTGAGACAGGATAGCAGCTGTCTCATTCTAATCTCCCTTCTACAGCAATGGAGGTGGTTTGCAGTCTGCAATTATCCCTTCAGGAGCCCAACAGACACCCACAGGACACTTTCCCTTTCCTTCCTGTTGACAGCAGCACCTTGCAACTGAAGAGTTTCTTTATCACATGTTCATTGAGGGTCCCCAAACCCACTCTGGTGGGGTCACTGTTGCTGGAGAGAGGTGAAGAAGCTGTGATTCCTGCTTACCTGAAGGCTTTGATTTTGCTTTACCAGTTTATCTGTCTTTGTCCTGGAGAAGCTGGCAATCTGGGCCTTGGAAAGATCCCCTCCTTGCTGGGTGAAGAGCTGGATGCCAGGCTGAGCCCAGAGAGAGCTGGGGAATGGAGTTTTAAATCCAGCTGGTAACCACTCACCTTCCCTCCTGAGAATCGGTACTGGGGCCTTTCCTGTTCAACATCACAGCATCACAGAACGGTTGGGTTGGAAGGGACCTCAAGGCTCACGAAGCTCCAACCCCCCACCAATGCAGGGCCACCAACCTCCCCATTGCACAGCAGCCCAGGCTGCCCAGGGCCCCATCCAACCTGGCCTCCAACACCTCCAGGGATGGACGGGGCATCACAGCCTCTCTGGGCAGCTGTTCCAGCCCCTCCCCGCTCTCACAGCACACAACTTCCCCTGACATCCAACCTCCAGCTGCCCTCCCTCAGCTCCAAACCATTTCCCTCGTCCTGCTGCCATCTCCCCTTGCACACAGCTGACTCCCCTCCTGGCTGCAGGCTCCCTTCAGGCACTGCAGGCTGCACTGAGGTCACCCCGCAGCTTCTCTTCTCCATGCTGAACAAGCCCAGCTCCCTCAGCCTGTCTTTGTAGGGAGGTGCTGCAGCCTCTGAGCATCTTTGTGGCTCCTCTGGCCCCTCTCCAACAGCTCCCTGACTTTCTTGTACTGGGGGCCCCAGACCTGGACGCAGTGCTGCAGATGGGGACACAGGAGGGCAGAGCAGAGAGGGACAATCACCTCCGTGTCCCTGTCTCCCTATAAGTCCTGCAGGAGGTGGTGGTGAGGTGGGGGTCAGCCTCTGCTCCCAGGTGACAGCGATAGGACCGGAGGAAATGGCCTCAGGATGTGCCAGGAAAGGCTCAGTTTGAATGTCAGGAAATACTTCCCCGGTGCTGGGAGGGGCTGCCCATGGAGGGGGGGGGGGGAGGGGGGGCTGCCTGCTGAGCTCCTGCACTGAGGCGCACGGTTTACTGCAAGCACTGCTGAAAGCTGATGGTTGGATGGGGTGATATGAGAGGCCTTTTCCAACCGTGGCAATAAAATGGTTGCACCATTATCCCAGCCCACAGAGCCTCGCACCGCTGCTCAACAACCCGCACGGGCAGCGCCTGCAAGCTGCAGCGTGGCGCTGGGCTGCTTGAGGGGAGCAGGAGGGCAGAGCAGGGCGCTGTGCGGTGCTGGGGCCGCAGCCCAGCCCCGTGGGAGCCCCCAAACCAAGAGAGCACGTTATCACCAACAGACACGCAGGGTGAGGCCGAAGGCGGCACAGAATCCTATTCCTGTAAACGCACCGCGTTCCGGGCACTGCAGAGAACGAAACTGAGAGCGCGGGGAGGCGGAGCCTCGGCTCTGCACCAAGGGCAGCTGCACCACAGCTCGATCCCTGCAGCCCCCCATCACCCTATCCTCACCAGGCTGTGTATCTTGGCACCCCATCACACCCAGCCCGATGCTCGGTGCTGTGCTGAGGAAGGGGAGCTGTGGGAGCGCTGCTGCAGCCCCATTTCACAGGAGCACACATGGAGTGTGGCATGGGAGCTGCAGAGCTAGCAGAAAGCTAGGAGCTGCTCAACGGCATTCTTGGGGCTCTCCTCCTTGGGGAGCTCCCACCCCGCTGTGCTCTGGGGAGTCCTGCCGGGCACCAGAGGGACCCCGAGGGCCCCATCCTCACCCCCTGCGGCTCTGCAATCCCTGCCCACTCACAGCCGCTTCCCACCCCCCGTGTGGATGAGAGATGGATCCGGCACAGGTTCTGCACCGCGCACAAAGCTCAGCGTTTATTGAGAGCTCCTTGGGGCCCAGCAGCACAGCACGGCCCGCATCGCCCTGCACGCGGAGCCCCTGCGGCCGCGGCACCGGCAGCGTCCCACTGCGCCTTGTCAGAGAGCAGCAGCTGTGGAGCAAAGGAGGAGGCGTCTCACAGCATCACAGCATCACAGAATTGTAGGGGTTTTAAGGGACCTCCAGAGCTCATCGAGTCCAACCCCCTGCCAAAGCAGGTTCCCTACAGCAGGTCGGCATCCAGGCAGGTCTTGAACATCTCCAGAGCAGGAGACTCCCCCACCTCCCTGCAGCCTGTTCCAGTGCTCCGTCACCTCACTGCACAGAAGTTCCTTCGCACATTGGTGCAGAACTTCCTATGCTGCAGTTTCCGGCCATTTCCCCTTGTCCTGTCTCCATTCACCACTGAAAAGAGTCCATCCTCGCCATTCTGCCCCCCACACCTCAGATATTTACAGACCTGGATCAGGTCCCCTCTCAGCCTTCTTTTCTCAAGGCTGAACAGACCCAGTTCACTCAGCCTTTCCTCATAGCAGAGATGCTCCAGGCCCTTCACCATCTTTGTTGCCCTCCGCTGGACTCTTTCCAAGAGATCCCTGTCTGTTTTGTGCTGGGGAGCCCAGAACTGGACGCAGTGCTGCAGATGAGGCCTCACCAGGGCAGAGCAGAGGGGGAGGATCACCTCCCTCGACCTGCTGGCCACGCTCTTTTTAATGCACCCCAGTAAGCCATTGGCCTTTTTGGCCACAAGGGCACACTGCTGGCTCATGGCCATGGTCTCCTCTCTGTCAGAATCCTTGCTGCCTGTTCTGTGGCAGGAGAGGCACAGACTCCTTGGCTGGTGCACGACCCAGACCTTTGTTGTAGGACCTTTACAACCCCTTGGTCACCGGCACAAACCAGGCACCTCGAGTGTGTTTATGTCCGGCACACGATGCTGCCGAGCTGCTTCACTCATTTTCAAGGCCTTTTGTTCATTATGTCTTTCTTTTTCCCACTGTTGGAGCCAGAGAGATCCTCTGCTCTGGCTTGAAGAGAAACTGCAGTTTATTGAGCTTTCTGTCAACAACTAATCAACTAGTTTGAGGCCAAATGAGGCAGCTTTCTAACAGTGCTTAGTAAGCATCACGCACAAGGGTGTTGGTGAGGCACTGGTTCCTTATCAACTACTTTGAGGGAAAGCAAATAAAAGAAAAAGGAGAAGAAAAAGGAGAGGGATTTGGAGGCAGGTGTATTTCACCACTCCTGCACCCAGCGCAGCCCTGAGGATGGCAGCACAAGTGAGTCTAGGAGGTGTGGGAGCTTTGCACAAGGGTCTCTGCTGGTCGTCTTTATCAGCCGTGAGAGGAAGTGCAGATCAGCTGTGTTCCACGGTGCCTCCGCACAGCGAGGGCCCACAGGCCTCACAGCTTCCAGCTTCTGCAGGTAAGGCTCCTTGCAGCCGAGTTGTTGGAGCCCCCGTGCCCTGCTGGTCCCACACAGCCCGTCACCACTCAGCACCTCCGGCATCGGCGCGCCAGGCAGCAGGAATGGCGCAGAGGAGAAGATGTGTCCTGCCTCAACTTAGAGAATGGCACAAGAGTTCCCAGGAACATTGGATAAATCCTTCAGCAGCATTTGCCGTGTGTATTGTGGAGCAGCGCCGTTCTGCTCGACCATGGCATCAATCATGCTGATGAGCTCTGCAACCTGCCCATCCCATTTCTCTCCGGTTGCTATGTTGCTGAATCCAATGTACCGATTTCCACACTTGGCTGCCAGGCCTTTGAGGAATGAACTCCCTTCTACGAAAGCCTTCAGGTCTTCTGGATGCTCCAGCTCTTCTGCTCGGGTGAATAACAGGATTGTGTACCTCCTTCCTTCTCTACTGAATATCGTGGTCACCCACTCAGCCACTTCCCGATCTTCCTCAGAGATTCGGCCCATCGTTATCACCAGGATGATGGCATGGAACCCTTCAGAGACAAACTGAAAGGCATTCTGAATTTTTTCAGCTGTTGTTCTAAGCACTTCCTTAGTGTCAAAAAGGCCAGGAGTGTCAACGACACCAACAGGTCTTCCAGCAAAGAGGCCTTCAGCTTTCTCGCACTCCTGGGTTACTGACTGTGCTGACAGTGCAGAACGAAATGCCTCCCTCCCAAGGATGGTGTTCCCTGTCGCACTCTTGCCGCTCCCCGTCCTGCCCACCAGGATGATGCTCAGCTGGGACCCTGTGGACCAAGCAGAGACGAGTGTGAGCCCCGCGGTGCCGGGACACCCCCTGCTGGCCACGGAGTGCCGGCGCCACGAGGAAAGGTGTCCCCGAGCCACCGCTGTGCCCTGCGGGGACGGGACGGGGCACGGGCTGGAGCCGGCTGCCAGCAGGCACGCAGCGCTCGCTCGGCCCCGTCCGCCCTCAGCCTCGCTCTGTGAGCTCTCAGCGCTCAGAGATGGGAGGCAGCCTCAGGACGCACACGACCAGCAGCAGGGGAGGCACTCACCTGTGCTGCGACGTCCTGCCATCGGGAGAGCGCTCACACTCACACGGGGAGCCTGGGAGGAGAGAGATGTTGAGTGAGAGGGGCACAAACCACAGAATATCAGGGGTTGGAAGGGACCTCAAGGATCGTCCATCGCAATCCCCCTGCTGAAGCAGGAACACGTAGGTTAGGTCACGCAGGAACAAGCTGTTCACCTTTGTCCTATTGCTGTACTCTAGGATAAAGGAAGCATTGCCGTGCCGTGCAGTGCTGCAGCCCTGGCACAAGGACACAGAGGCTGTGGGGTCTCCTCCTTATGGACCTCCATTGCCCGGACATGAGGCTGTGCCCCCTGCTCTGGGTGTCCCTGTGCAGGCAGGGCAGACCAAATCCCACATCCCCAAACCACAGCTCACCAGGGCTCAGGCATTTCTGCACACCGCCCCTCCATCCCCTCCCATCGGTCCCCCATCGCCCGCTGCCCAGGGCTGCGTCCCTTTGGCTGTGGAACCTCTGCAGGGACGGAGACCCCACTGCAGTGCTGGGCAGCCGGAGCGGTGCTCACCCACCTGCACAGATGGCAAAGGGAGTGCTGATGTTTCCTCAGAGTTCCTGTGCTTCCAGTCGTGCCCCCTGTCTCCTGTCCTGGCTCTGCGCCCCGCTGCACCCCACCAGCTCTTTGCACCCCCACACTGGACATCCGTGGCCTCTCCATCAGAGGATCACAGAATGTGCTGGGTTGGAAGGGACCCACAGGGATCCGACCCCTGGCTCTGCACAGGACCACTCAAATCCAAACGCTGTGTCTCACACTGGTGCCCAAACGCTGCACGATCTGCTGCAGCTCGGGCTGTGATCACAGCCCATACAACCATGCCCCACATCGCCCTGAAAGGCAGCAGGAACGGCACGACAGCAGACACCTCCTGCCTGACCGACCCCTCGCCGCCCGCAGGATGGTACCAACCTTCTGCAAAAAGGTCCGTGTGTCTTCCTCCAGCATCTCTCGCGTGTAACACGGAGCAGCGCCGTTCTGCTCGACCATGGCATCAATCACGCTGATGAGCTCTGCAACCTGCCCATCCCTCTCCTCCCTGGTGGCTGTGTTGCTGAATCCAACGTACCGATTTCCACACTTGGCTGCCAAGGCCTTGAGGTATGAACTCCCTTCTATGAAACTCTTCAGACCTTCTGGTTTCTGCAGTTGTTCTGCTCGGGTGAATAACAGGATTGTGTACCTCTGTGCTTCAATATTGAATATCTTGGTCACCCACTCAACCACTTCCTTCTCTTCCTGAGTGATTCGACCCAGCTGCATCACCAGGACGATGGCATGGACCCCTGTAGAGAGGTATCGAAGGCCGTTCTTGATCTTTTCAGCTGTTTTCAGGTTGGCTTCTCTTGTGTCAAAGAGGCCTGGAGTGTCCACGACCTCCACTGCCCTTCCACAGCAGTGGCTCTGGGCACTGCCGTAGTCAGAGGTTACGGAACTTTCTGACAGCTTCGATTCAAACGCCTCCCTCCCAAGGATGGTGTTCCCTGTCGCGCTCTTCCCACTCCCCGTCTTGCCCACCAGCAGGATCCTCAGCTGGGACCCTGGGGAACAAGCAGAGATGTGCGTGAGCCCCCAGTGCGCAGCTCCCCTCGCCCCAGCTGTGCTCCTCGGGGTCCGTCAGAGGAACGTGTGGCCCTGAGGGCGCCCAGGGCTGTTGGGCTCCAGGCTTCCTAAATGGCTGCACCCAGTGCTCTCCTGAGAGCAGAAACAGAAAGCGACAGCGATCTGACAGCTCCCTGAGCCCCAGCATTGCTCGGGGTGGACTCTCCCTTTCCAAGCAGTCACACACTGAGCAGATAACGCAGCAGGGTTCGTGCAGCATTGGCCCTTGGGCCATTGCTTGCCCTTCATGTCCCCAGCGGGGCACAGCTCTACGCAACGGGCACCGAGGCAGCGAGGTTTGGGGTGCAGCTGGAGCCCTGTGCTGTATGTCAGGCTGTACAGCGCTGCCCCATCCGCCCTCACCCAAATTCTGTGAGCTCTCAGAGCGGGGAGACGGGAGGCAGCCTCAGGATACACAACCGTGCGGAGCTGAGCGGCTCACCTTTGCTGTGACGTCCTGCCATCGGGAGAGCGCTCACACTCACACAGAGGAAGCCTGGGAGGAGAGAGATGTTGAGTGAGAGGGGCACAAAGCTGCCCTGCTTCCCTCCCTGTGCCAATGAAGGTGACACAGATGATCCCTGGGCACTCAGGTCAGTCCCACAGCTGCGTGTGCATGGAGAAAGACAAGTGGCATCAAAGTTACCCATCTGCATTGACTTTGTCTTTGGAAAGAAATGTTGGCTGAACCTTATGCATGAAAATCAGAACCCACTCCCTGAAAGCAGATTCTGCCGCCTTGGAATTTGTTCCGGCAGTGGCAGCAGAGCTGCAGCAACTCACCAAAGCAGCGCTGCGCTGTGTCCCAGCTCTGACTGCTGCACTCGTGCTGTTGCTGCTCTCGTCCCGCACAGCAGCGCCGGGGCTGGAAGCGCTGTGCAGCTCAGCAGCGCTTTTAGAGGCGGCGTCGGGAGGAGGGCAGTGCTGGGATCCCAGGTAGCGCTGCTCCACCATTGGCCACATCTGAGCTGCCCCAGTGCGGGGACACCGCCCGCTGTGCAAAGCCACATCCAGCCTGGACTCGGGCTGGGGCATCAGCAGCTCTTCCGGGAAACTTGATTGAAGGCTCACAGGCCCTGCCCTCTTTTGCATTCAAGACATTCGTCTTTGTCCTTCCAAGGCACTCTTGGATCCAGGAAGCTGTATTCTTGTTCTGTGCACTGCTGCAGCCCTGGCACAAGGACCCAGAGGCTGTGGGTTCTCCTCCCTGGGACACGAGGGTCTGTAGGGCCATGAGGAGCTGCAGGGCCATGAGCCCTCCCCTCAGCCTCCTCTGCTCCGGGCACAGCAAACACAGAGCCCTCAACTCTCCTCACAGCCCTTGCCCTGCAGACCCTTCCCCATCTCCACAGCCCCCCTTTGGATGCTCTAACAGCCCCATGCCCTTCGCACGCAGCAGCACCCCATGCTCGAGGTCAGGCTGCAGCACAGAGCAGAGGGCACAGTCCCTTCCCTCACCAGCACTGCTGGGCTGCTGCACCCAGCGGTTGGGGCTCTTTTGGCTGCAGGGCATTCTAATGGCTCACATGCACCGGGCCGTCCCACAGCCCCCAGAGCCCTTCTGTGCGGCTGCTGTCCGACCTCTGCTCCTCCTCCCCCCATACTGGGAACCCAAACCCAGTCACTGAAGGGAACACTGGAGAGAATCAGCCCTGAGATGGAGCCCTGTGGAGCCCCCAGTGACTGCCACCAGCACATCTCCCCCCGTGTCTCAACACGGCCAGCCCAGCATTCACCCATCACACCGTGCCCGTGTCCAGCTGTGTGCCAGGCGTTGTGCCTGCAGGTTCCTGGGAGCAATGCTATGGAGGCACTGCAGGAGCCGAAACAGCTCTGCATCCAACCGGCTGGATCCCCACGAGCAGCTCAGTGGGTGACTGCTGGACCTGCACACCGAGTTCCCAGGACAGGTTTTGCCCCTCACCAGCCCACGTTGGCTGCTGACAATGACTGCGTTGTCTCTCAGCTCTGTGTGCAGCTGAGGGCAGCGGTCCCGGGGCTGCAGAGACCCCGCACAAGGGGAACCCCCCCACCCCCGGCCGTCCCTTTGCCTGCTGCACGGGGCTGGACGGGGCCCAGAGGGGCCGTGTGGTTCCTGCTCAGCGTGTGACTTTCGGGAATGGGAGCGGCTCAGCCCGGGCTTTGGTTCACCCGAGGGCAGCAGGAGCAGCAGGAATGCTTTCACTTCCTGTTGTCACACAGCCCAGAGCTCAGCGCCCTGCGCTCCCTTGGGGGCTCGAGTTCCCCCTGACGGCGTCAAGGAACAACAGCTGCACTTTCTCCTCCCTTTTCCAGAGGCCCCTCGTGGGGATGGGCTCTGTCCGGGCTGTGATTCCCGCTGGTTTCAGAACAGTGCTGATGCTGCTGACGGCGCCCTGGACCGCTGGGAGCAGCAGGAAGCAATGCTGCATGCAGAGCGCTAATTAAAACACAAACATTACACTAATTACCGTAATTATCCTTTAGTGCCTCCATAAGCCATGCTCAGGGATCTCCCCAAACCCCGCGCCCACCCCGCGCAGCGGGCGACGTCGCGGCGGCACCGGGCGCTGCGCTCCGGCGAGTCGAAGGCGTCGGGCGCGTCCACCGCGTGCACGCCGTAAGCCCTCCACGAGCCGCTCCGCCGCTCGCTCCTCCGCGCCACCGCGCGCGTGGGGTGAATCGCGGGGAGCAGCCGAGGGTTGGCTGTCGCTCCCCGGGGTGCGGCCGCCCGCCGGCAGCCGGGCCGAAGGTGGCGCATTCCTTCAGTGCCTTTCCCGTCAACGCACCCGTTTCCCGTCAACGCGCTCGGTTCCCTCAGCGCCGTCCCGGGCAGCGGAGCCGCGCGGCACCGCCGCCCCGCCGAGCTCGAACGGACGCGCCGCCCCGCCGCCCCGCGCTCCCGCAGCCCCGCGTCCCCCAGCCGAGCTCCTCCGAGCCCCACGCCGGGGGCTCCGGGGTGGCCGGACGCTTCCCGACGCGCCGCGACGCGACGCGCTCCCCTGGGGGCTGCCGGCCCGACGGGGAGCGGGGCGCCGCCGGCACCGGGGCTGCTCGCAGGGCTGCTCCGAGCCGGGGCGGCTCCTCGGTGCCCGCTCTCACCCCTCTCCGTTCGGCCCCGGCCGCGGCCGCGCAGCCGTCGCGGTTTCGTGTTTTTTTCCTCGTTATTCCACATTCCCTGCGTCACGCAGCGATGGGAGTCGAAGAGGCGACGCGGCGGCTCCGAAGAATGAGCTACAGCTCCCAGAAAGGCACGGCGCTCCCACAACGCTTTATTTTGTGATTTCCATCTTCCAGGAGGAGGCGATGACAGCAGAACACAAAGCTCACAGCAGCGCTCTCCTTTGCTGCCTGTGTGTCACAGCTGCTGCAGCATCGGCACGAGAGCTTTGCGTTTTGGAAACTCTCGTTTGTTCAGTAGCTTCAATTCCAATTACATTTCACTACTACAATTAGAAAACTAAGTCCTTCTTTCCTTAGCTCATTGCCACCGCTTCCCTTGTCCGGATCCACCTCCCTTTCCTTCCCCTCCCCTACCCCCTTTTTGGGCATGGACCCGTGGGTCTCGTCACGGTGATTAGATCTTAATTACGGCAAACACAACCAACACGACGACTCCCCTCGCCCCTCGCTCTGCCTGAGGGCGATGCTCACAGCCCTGTGCAGCACCTCATCAGCCTGCACATCCCGGTCCCGCCTCGGCGCTCTGTTGCTCACAGCACAGCACTGCTTCCCGCACGCCTTCACCAGCTCCCGCAGCGCTCCTCTGTCGGCCGCCTTCACGTATTCATCCAGCGAGCCGCCCCCCAGGTCTTCCTTCCTTGTGAACACCACCATCATGCGCTGCTTAGCGCCCTTCCCAAACAGCTTCTGCACGCTCTCCTGCACCTCGCGGTCCTCCCGCGTGTAACGGCCCAGCTGTGTCACCAGCAGCAGCACGCAGGGCTCCCGGGCAGCGAATCTGAGGCAGCGCTGGCGCTCCTCGGCCAAACGCTGCTCGTCCCACTGAGAGCCCCCGAAAATCGCCGGGGTGTCCATGACCACCACGCACCACTCGCCCCAATCCCGCCTGCCGTCTTTGCGCGTGGTGGTGACGGGTTGGGACGCCAGCCGGGACTCGAAGCGCTCCTCGCCCAGCAACGTGTTGCCGGTGGCGCTGCGCCCCGCTCCGCTCCGCCCCAGCAGCACAACGCGCAGCTCCGGCCGCCGAAATGCGGGGACAGCGGGACACGGCTCGGACGGGACGGACAGCTTCTCCTCCAGGGACTGCCGACCCCACGCCGAGCTTCCATGGACCCCGTCCCGTTACAGACAACACCCTCAGAGCACGGACCCCGCGACCGGACAAGGAGACCGGGCCCCAAACCAGCAGGCACACAGCGCTCGTGGGCCGCATCCGCCCTCAGCCTCGATCTGTGCGGCTCTGAAAGCAGAGATGGGAGGCAGCCTCAGGACGCCCCCGAGGCCACGGCCTCCCACAGAGCCCACGCGAGCACGAGGCTGCACCAGGATGCGAACCCCCCGTGCTCCCCAGCACTCAGCCAGGAGCCCGATGGGCTGCAGCTGCGTGCATGCAGCTGTGAGTGGCTCACCTGTGCTGTGACGTCCTGCCATCGGGAGAGCGCTCACACTCACACGGGGAGCCTGGGAGGAGAGAGATTTTGAGTGAGAGTGGCACAAACCTGCCCTGCTTCCTTCCCTGTGCCAATGAAGGTGACACAGATGATCCCTGGGGACTCAGGTCAGTCCCACAGCCGCGTGTGCATGGACAAAGACAAGTGGCATCAAAGTTACCCATCTGCATTGACTTTGTCAGCACCTTAGGTAAGGAATATGGACTGGAAGTCAGAACCCACTCCTTGGAAGCAGATTCTGCTGCCTCGGAATTTGTTCCGGCAGTGGCAGCAGAGCTGCAGCAACTCACCAAAGCAGCGCTGCGCTGTGTCCCAGCTCTGACTGCTGCACTCGTGCTGTTGCTGCTCTCGTCCCGCACAGCAGCGCCGGGGCTGGAAGCGCTGTGCAGCTCAGCAGCGCTTTTAGAGGCGGCGTCGGGAGGAGGGCAGTGCTGGGATCCCAGGTAGCGCTGCTCCACCATTGGCCACATCTGAGCTGCCCCAGTGCGGGGACACCGCCCGCTGTGCAAAGCCACATCCAGCCTGGGCTCGGGCACTTTTCCTTAGACAAACACACATTTGAAATATAAATATGCTCATAGGAAAGAGAATTGGATAGTGTGTGTGATAGCAAGGTTCTGATTCAGTTTGCAGAAGTGGAAATTGAGCGTCAGTTTCCTCACTGAGCATTGCTGCTACAGCAGGGCACTCTGGGCTCACGTCCTCCAGGATGACCAAAAGTCCGCAGAGCCCTTCTGTAGGGCTGCCGTCCAGCCTCTGTTTCTTTACATACACCCAGGACAGCCCCATCCCACGTGCAGAATGCAGCTCTTGCTCTCGGTCACCTCCATTCCGTTGGGCACTGCCTGGTCCTGCCATCACTAAGGCTCTCTCTGCCAGGCCTCTTCACCCTTGACTGAGTCAGCAGCTCATGGCAGTGCAGTGCCATCCACAACCTTCCTCACTGCACCTCAGTGACAGTTTCCAGCCATGGAGAGAACACTGAAGAGAATCAGCCCTGACACGGAGCCCAGCGGAACCCCCCATGGCTGCCACCAGCACAGTGCCCCCCCGTCCCAGATCCCGGAGCCCCGGTCTTCCCCCACAGCACTGTGTGCGTGTGTAGCTGTGTGCTGAACGCTTCATCCTGACCATTCCTCCAGCAATGTGCTGCCCGTCCTGCTGCTGCCTCCGAGCTGCAGAGCGCCCACATCACCTGCACACGCCAGCTGAGGCCCAAGGGCCCACAGACGCCTTTCCCGTAAGCGCGCTCCGTTCCAGCAGTGCAGACAACACATCTCGCAGCAAAGGCTGCTGGAGAACCTCAGCTCTCGCACCGAGGGCAGCTCCCCTTCCACATCCCCGCCATCCTCCACAGCAGCCTGCATGCCCACAGCCACGGGCACCAGCCCTCCACATCCCATCCCCGCAGGCACAGCCGGCACTGGGCCTCGTCCCCACTGCACCGTGTGTGCGACCACCTCCTGCCAGCACTGCTCAGCACAGCAGAACCCAGGGCACAGACGGATGCTCCTCCACACAGCAATGCTCAGTGTTTATTGACAGCTCCTTCAGGCCCATCACCACACACCCTGCCTCACATCACCCCATACAGACAGCAGGAACGGCACAGCAGAGGAGGTCCCTGTTCTGGGACTGACCCCTGGCTGCCTACAGGATGGTACAAAACTTTTCAAAGAATGTCCGTGTGTCTTCCTCCAGCATTTCCTGTGTGTAACGCGGAGCTCTGCCATTCTGCTCTACCATGGCATCAATCATGCTGATGAGCTCTGCAACCTGCCGATCCCTTTTCTCTCCAGTTGCTATGTTGCTGAAACCAATGTACCGATTTCCACACTTGGCTGCCAGGCCCTTGAGGTATGGGCTCCTGTCTATGAAGCCCTTCAGACCTTTTGGATGCTCCAGCTGCTCTGCTCGGGTGAATAAGAGGATTGTGTATCTCCATGCTTTAGAATGGAAGATTCTGGTCACCCAGTCAGCCACTTCCTGCTCTTCCTTACTCATTTGTCCCAGCTGCATCACCAGGATGATGGCATGGACACCTTCACTGGTTCTCTGAAACGCATTCTTAATCTTTTCAGCTGTTTTTTCATTGGTTTCCCTTGTATCAAATAGGCCAGGAGTGTCGATAACAAGAACTGGTCTTCCATTAACATGGTCCTTGACGTCCTTGCACTCTTGGGTTACCAAATGTGGTGACAACATGGAATGAAATGCCTCCTTCCCAAGGATGGTGTTCCCTGTTGCACTCTTCCCATTCCCCGTCTTCCCCACCAGGATGATGCTCAGCTGGGATCCTGTGGACCAAGCAGAGATGAGTGTGAGCCCCGCGGTGCCGGGACACCCCCTGCTGACCACGGAGTGCCGGCGCCACGAGGAAAGGTGTCCCCGAGCCACCGCTGTGCCCTGCGGGGACGGGACGGGGCACGGGCTGGAGCCGGCTGCCAGCAGGCACGCAGCGCTCGCTCGGCCCCGTCCGCCCTCAGCCTCGCTCTGTGAGCTCTCAGGGCGGAGATGGGAGGCAGCCTCAGGACGCCCCCGAGGCCACGGCCTCCCACAAAGCCCACATGAACTCCCCGTGCTTCCCAGCACTCAGCCAGGAGCCCGGCTGGGCTGCAGCTGCCTGCGTTCACCTGTGATCGGCTCACCTTTGCTGTGACGTCCTGCCATCGGGAGAGCGCTCACACTCACAGGGGGAGCCTGGAAGGAGAGAGATTTTGAGTGAGAGTGGCACAAAGCTGCCCTGCTTCCCTCCCTGTGCCAATGAAGGTGACACAGATGATCTCTGGGGACTCAGGTCAGTCCCACAGCCGCGGGTGCATGGAGAAAGACAAATGGCATCAAAGTTACCCATCAACATTGACTTTGTCTGCACCTTAGGTAAGGAATATGGACTGTCCCTCATTAATGGAAGTCAGAACCCACTCCCTGAAAGCAGATTCTGCTGCCTTGGAATTTGTTCCGGCAGTGGCAGCAGAGCTGCAGCAACTCACCAAAGCAGCGCTGCGCTGTGTCCCAGCTCTGACTGCTGCACTCGTGCTGTTGCTGCTCTCGTCCCGCACAGCAGCGCCGGGGCTGGAAGCGCTGTGCAGCTCAGCAGCGCTTTTAGAGGCGGCGTCGGGAGGAGGGCAGTGCTGGGATCCCAGGTAGCGCTGCTCCACCATTGGCCACATCTGAGCTGCCCCAGTGCGGGGACACCGCCCGCTGTGCAAAGCCACATCCAGCCTGGACTCGGGCGCTGCCAGGGATGGGGCATCAGCAGCTCTTCCAGGTAACGTGATTTACGGCCTCAACACCTGCCCTCTTTTACATGTGAGCCATTCACCTTTGTCCTATTGGTGTACTCTGAGTCAAGGGAAACATTGATGTGCTGTGCAGTGCTGCAGCCCTGGCACAAGGACACAGAGGCTGTGGGGTCTCCTCCTTATGGACCTCCATTGCCCGGACATGAGGCTGTGCCCCCTGCTCTGGGTGTCCCTGTGCAGGCAGGGCAGACCAAATCCCACATCCCCAAACCACAGCTCACCAGGGCTCAGGCATTTCTGCACACCGCCCCTCCATCCCTGCCCATCGGTCCCCCATCGCCCGCTGCCCAGGGCTGCGTCCCTTTGGCTGTGGAACCTCTGCAGGGACGGAGACCCCACGGCAGTGCTGGGCAGCCGGAGCGGTGCTCACCCACCTGCACAGATGGCAAAGGGAGTGCTGATGTTTCCTCAGAGTTCCTGTGCTTCCAGTCGTGCCCCCTGTCTCCTGTCCTGGCTCTGCGCCCCGCTGCACCCCACCAGCTCTTTGCACCCCCACACTGGACATCCGTGGCCTCTCCATCAGAGGATCACAGAATGTGCTGGGTTGGAAGGGACCCACAGGGATCCGACCCCTGGCTCTGCACAGGACCACTCAAATCCAAACGCTGTGTCTCACACTGGTGCCCAAACGCTGCACGATCTGCTGCAGCTCGGGCTGTGATCACAGCCCATACAACCATGCCCCACATCGCCCTGAAAGGCAGCAGGAACGGCACGACAGCAGACACCTCCTGCCTGACCGACCCCTCGCCGCCCGCAGGATGGTACCAACCTTCTGCAAAAAGGTCCGTGTGTCTTCCTCCAGCATCTCTCGCGTGTAACACGGAGCAGCGCCGTTCTGCTCGACCATGGCATCAATCACGCTGATGAGCTCTGCAACCTGCCCATCCCTCTCCTCCCTGGTGGCTGTGTTGCTGAATCCAACGTACCGATTTCCACACTTGGCTGCCAAGGCCTTGAGGTATGAACTCCCTTCTATGAAACTCTTCAGACCTTCTGGTTTCTGCAGTTGTTCTGCTCGGGTGAATAACAGGATTGTGTACCTCTGTGCTTCAATATTGAATATCTTGGTCACCCACTCAACCACTTCCTTCTCTTCCTGAGTGATTCGACCCAGCTGCATCACCAGGACGATGGCATGGACCCCTGTAGAGAGGTATCGAAGGCCGTTCTTGATCTTTTCAGCTGTTTTCAGGTTGGCTTCTCTTGTGTCAAAGAGGCCTGGAGTGTCCACGACCTCCACTGCCCTTCCACAGCAGTGGCTCTGGGCACTGCCGTAGTCAGAGGTTACGGAACTTTCTGACAGCTTCGATTCAAACGCCTCCCTCCCAAGGATGGTGTTCCCTGTCGCGCTCTTCCCACTCCCCGTCTTGCCCACCAGCAGGATCCTCAGCTGGGACCCTGGGGAACAAGCAGAGATGTGCGTGAGCCCCCAGTGCGCAGCTCCCCTCGCCCCAGCTGTGCTCCTCGGGGTCCGTCAGAGGAACGTGTGGCCCTGAGGGCGCCCAGGGCTGTTGGGCTCCAGGCTTCCTAAATGGCTGCACCCAGTGCTCTCCTGAGAGCAGAAACAGAAAGCGACAGCGATCTGACAGCTCCCTGAGCCCCAGCATTGCTCGGGGTGGACTCTCCCTTTCCAAGCAGTCACACACTGAGCAGATAACGCAGCAGGGTTCGTGCAGCATTGGCCCTTGGGCCATTGCTTGCCCTTCATGTCCCCAGCGGGGCACAGCTCTACGCAACGGGCACCGAGGCAGCGAGGTTTGGGGTGCAGCTGGAGCCCTGTGCTGTATGTCAGGCTGTACAGCGCTGCCCCATCCGCCCTCACCCAAATTCTGTGAGCTCTCAGAGCGGGGAGACGGGAGGCAGCCTCAGGATACACAACCGTGCGGAGCTGAGCGGCTCACCTTTGCTGTGACGTCCTGCCATCGGGAGAGCGCTCACACTCACACAGAGGAAGCCTGGGAGGAGAGAGATGTTGAGTGAGAGGGGCACAAAGCTGCCCTGCTTCCCTCCCTGTGCCAATGAAGGTGACACAGATGATCCCTGGGCACTCAGGTCAGTCCCACAGCTGCGTGTGCATGGAGAAAGACAAGTGGCATCAAAGTTACCCATCTGCATTGACTTTGTCTTTGGAAAGAAATGTTGGCTGAACCTTATGCATGAAAATCAGAACCCACTCCCTGAAAGCAGATTCTGCCGCCTTGGAATTTGTTCCGGCAGTGGCAGCAGAGCTGCAGCAACTCACCAAAGCAGCGCTGCGCTGTGTCCCAGCTCTGACTGCTGCACTCGTGCTGTTGCTGCTCTCGTCCCGCACAGCAGCGCCGGGGCTGGAAGCGCTGTGCAGCTCAGCAGCGCTTTTAGAGGCGGCGTCGGGAGGAGGGCGGTGCTGGGATCACAGATAGCGCTGCTCCACCATTGGCCACATCTGAGCTGCCCCAGTGCGGGGACACCGCCCGCTGTGCAAAGCCACATCCAGCCTGGACTCGGGCTGGGGCATCAGCAGCTCTTCCGGGAAACTTGATTGAAGGCTCACAGGCCCTGCCCTCTTTTGCATTCAAGACATTCGTCTTTGTCCTTCCAAGGCACTCTTGGATCCAGGAAGCTGTATTCTTGTTCTGTGCACTGCTGCAGCCCTGGCACAAGGACCCAGAGGCTGTGGGTTCTCCTCCCTGGGACACGAGGGTCTGTAGGGCCATGAGGAGCTGCAGGGCCATGAGCCCTCCCCTCAGCCTCCTCTGCTCCGGGCACAGCAAACACAGAGCCCTCAACTCTCCTCACAGCCCTTGCCCTGCAGACCCTTCCCCATCTCCACAGCCCCCCTTTGGATGCTCTAACAGCTCCATGCCCTTCTCACGCAGCAGCACCCCATGCTCGAGGTCAGGCTGCAGCACAGAGCAGAGGGCACAGTCCCTTCCCTCACCAGCACTGCTGGGCTGCTGCACCCAGCGGTTGGGGCTCTTTTGGCTGCAGGGCATTCTAATGGCTCACATGCACCGGGCCGTCCCACAGCCCCCAGAGCCCTTCTGTGCGGCTGCTGTCCGACCTCTGCTCCTCCTCCCCCCATACTGGGAACCCAAACCCAGTCACTGAAGGGAACACTGGAGAGAATCAGCCCTGAGATGGAGCCCTGTGGAGCCCCCAGTGACTGCCACCAGCACATCTCCCCCCGTGTCTCAACACGGCCAGCCCAGCATTCACCCATCACACCGTGCCCGTGTCCAGCTGTGTGCCAGGCGTTGTGCCTGCAGGTTCCTGGGAGCAATGCTATGGAGGCACTGCAGGAGCCGAAACAGCTCTGCATCCAACCGGCTGGATCCCCACGAGCAGCTCAGTGGGTGACTGCTGGACCTGCACACCGAGTTCCCAGGACAGGTTTTGCCCCTCACCAGCCCACGTTGGCTGCTGACAATGACTGCGTTGTCTCTCAGCTCTGTGTGCAGCTGAGGGCAGCGGTCCCGGGGCTGCAGAGACCCCGCACAAGGGGAACCCCCCCACCCCCGGCCGTCCCTTTGCCTGCTGCACGGGGCTGGACGGGGCCCAGAGGGGCCGTGTGGTTCCTGCTCAGCGTGTGACTTTCGGGAATGGGAGCGGCTCAGCCCGGGCTTTGGTTCACCCGAGGGCAGCAGGAGCAGCAGGAATGCTTTCACTTCCTGTTGTCACACAGCCCAGAGCTCAGCGCCCTGCGCTCCCTTGGGGGCTCGAGTTCCCCCTGACGGCGTCAAGGAACAACAGCTGCACTTTCTCCTCCCTTTTCCAGAGGCCCCTCGTGGGGATGGGCTCTGTCCGGGCTGTGATTCCCGCTGGTTTCAGAACAGTGCTGATGCTGCTGACGGCGCCCTGGACCGCTGGGAGCAGAAGGAAGCAATGCTGCATGCAGAGCGCTAATTAAAACACAAATATTACACTAATTACCGTAATTATCCTTTAGTCCCTCCACGTGCCATGCTCAGGGATCTCCCCAAACCCCGCGCCCACCCCGCCTCCTGTGGGGATGTGAGGAGCCCTCAGACCACGGCACTGAGGGCCCTGTGACCGACCCCATCCCCACCCTGTGCCACCAGAGCTGACTTGGGATGGATCCCTTCCCGTGGCTGTAGTCCCCGTCCCGTGGGCACTGTTCCCATCCCATGAGTGCTGCTTCCTCTGCCTGGACACTCCATGCTCTCCCAGCAGCATGAGGGCATTGTGCGACAGTCCCTGACCGTCCCAACACAGCCAGGCCACCCCGCTGGCTACAAATGGGGACAAAAGCCACAGCACAGCACGGCAGGCTCGCACTTTGTGACGCTGTATTCACACCGAGGTGCGCAGCCCGCACGGAGCTGCAGCGCTGTTGGGAGGAAAAGCAGCTTCGTGTTTTATGGGCCAGCGCTGCAGTGTGCCTCCCAGGGAAAGGCAGCACGGCACAGCTCTGCTGGCTAACGCACAAAGCGGCGGTACACCGAGATAACGCTCTGCCAGCCCCATGAGAGCACAGACCGCAGGGCGCGCCAGAGGGCCAGCAGCGCTGCAAGGACGCCGGAGCAGCAGCAGCAGAAGCACCGCGCACACGGCGTGCGGCACAGCCACCGCACGGCCGGGATGGACCGCAGCCACTCCAGGAGCCGCGTGTGCCACCGGCCCCGCAGCTGCCGCTCCACGTCCTCGGCCAGGAGATCGCATTTCTTCTCGAAGTCGATGTCCCGGCGCTTCAGGAGCCGCACGGCGCCGTCGAAGAGCTCGTTCCGGTAGTAGGCGCTCAGGTCTCCCCCCAGCATGCGCAGCACCGTCTCCAGCAGCTCCCCGACCCGCTCCTCTCCCGCCCCCCCGACCGCCCGGTTGTCGAAGGCGCAGCACCGTCCCCCGCAGTCCCACAGCAGCTCCCGCAGCGCGGCGGTGCCGGTGTCCTCCACGTGCCGCCGCAGGGAGCCGCCCGTCAGCTCGTCCCCGCGCGTGAAAACCACGACGGTGCGCTCGGCGGCGCCGGGCCCGAACAGCCGCCACACTTGCCGGACGGCCGCCTCGTCCTCCTGCGTGAAGCGGCCCAGCTGCGTCACCAGCAGCAGCGCGTGCGGCCCCGGCGCCGACAGCAGCGCGCAGCGGGCGACCTCGCGGCGGCACCGGGCGCTGCGCTCCGGCGAGTCGAAGGCGTCCGGCGTGTCCACCACGTGCACGCGGTAACCCCTCCACGAGCCGCTCTGCCGCTCGCTCCTCAGCGTCACCGCGCGCGTGGACAGCCGCGACTCGAAGGCCGCCCGCCCCAGGATGCTGTTCCCCGTCGCGCTCCTCCCTCCACCGCTCTTCCCGACGAGCAGCAGCCGCAGCTCCGGCTGCCCTTCGTCGTTCCGCATCCAGCGGCCCCTCGGCTCCGCCTGCCGGAAGGGCTCTGCGGGGGAGCGGAGGGGCGTGAGGCGTCCTCCGGAGCTGGCCGCACCCCCTGGGGCCGCCCGCCCCGCATCGCGCTCCCGCGGACCCCGTCCCGTTCTGGGCACCGCCCGCCGCCCCCCGCGCCCTCACCGGCGCTGTGCATCGCTGCTGCGCGTGGGCCGGCCGAGGCGAGCTGTGCCGGGGCTGCACGGAGAACGAGAGAGCGACCGCGGTCACGCAGCGATGGGATCGGGCGCCGTTCGTCCGCGGGAAGCGGCGCCGACCGCTCCGACTCCTGACGGAACGGAGCGCAGGAGGTGCCGGATCCCGGCCGGCTTTTATGCGAGGCCGCGGGGGCGGAGCACGACGGGCCGTGCGGGAACAGCCGGGGACGCGGAGCCGCGGGGAGCAGCCGGGGGTTGCCTGTGGCTCCGCGGGGAGGAGCCGCCCCGCCGGCAGCCGGGCCGAAGTCCGCACGGACCGTAAACGCCTTTTCCCGTAAACGCGCCCTGTTCCCCCCGCGCCGTCCCGAGCAGCGGAGCCGCGCGGTGCCGTCGCCACCCCGAGCACGAGCGGACGCCCCGCCCCTCCGCAGCCCCGCCGCCCCGCGCTCCCGCGGCGCCGCGTCCCCCAGCCGAGATCCTCCGCGCCGCGCGGCCCCGGGGGTCGCCGCCCTCCCTGCCGGCCCCCGCGCGAGCCCCCCCCGGGGGGCTCGGGGTGGCCGGGCGCTTCCCGACTCGCCGCGACGCGACGCGCTCCGCTGGGGGCTGCCGGCCCGACGGGGAGCGGGGCGGCGGACGGCCGCGGGCACGGAGCGGCACCGGGGCTGCTCGCGGGGCGGCTCCTCGGTGCCCGCTCTCACCCCTCTCCGTTCGGCCCCGGCCGCGGCAGCGCAGCCGTCGCGGTTTCGAGTTTTTTCCTCGTGATTCCACATTCCCTGCGTCACGCAGCGATGGGAGTCAACGGGGCGACGCGGCGGCTCCGAAGAATGAGCTACAGCTCCCAGAAAGGCACGGCGCTCCCACAACGCTTTATTTTGTGATTTCCATCTTCCAGGAGGAGGCGATGACAGCAGAACACAAAGCTCACAGCAGCGCTCTCCTTTGCTGCCTGTGTGTCACAGCTGCTGCAGCATCGGCACCAGAGCTTTGCGTTCTGGAAACTCTCGTTTATTTAGTAGCCCGTGGTTTTCGTCACGGTGATTAGATCTTAATTACAGAAAAAACACAACCATCACCACCACCGTTTGCGCCGGCGCCCCTCGCTCTGCCTGAGGGCGATGCTCACAGCCCTGTGCAGCACCTCATCAGCCTGCACCTCGCGGTCCTCCCGCGTGTAACGGCCCAGCTGTGTCACCAGCAGCAGCACGCAGGGCTGCCGGGCAGCGAATCTGAGGCAGCGCTGGCGCTCCTCGGCCAAACGCTGCTCGTCCCACTGAGAGCCCCCGAAAATCGCCGGGGTGTCCATGACCACCACGCACCACTCGCCTCAATCCCGCCTGCCTTCTTTGCACGTGGTGGTGACGGGTCGGGACGCCAGCCGGGACTCGAAGCGCTCCTCGCCCAGCAACGTGTTGCCGGTGGCGCTGCGCCCCGCGGGGGAGAACCGCCGCTCCAGTCTCCGCGGCTCGGTCCTTCATGGGCGCGGAGCTGCGGCCGCCTCGGTTCCTCTCCCTCTCACCCGGCGGACGGCCGCGCTCTGCGGGACGGGGACGGCCTGTGGGCGGGGATGGGCGGCCGCGGAGCTCCTGGGGCGGAGCTGCGGTCCCCGGTGTCGGTGCGGCGAAGCGCGGAGCCGGGGCGGCGGGGAGGAGGGGGACAGGGGGGACACGGGGACTAGGCGATATGGGGACATTGGGACACTGGGACAGTGGGTGTCAGGGACATGGGGACGCAGGGATTTTGGGACTTTGGGACTTCAGATCACGTGGGCTGCTGACACAGGGACATCGTTAATGTGAATATTGGGACCATCAGGACACAGTGGCACGGGTAGCTCAGGCCACCGAGCGACGACGATGCCGGGACCTCAGAGATCGAGGGCTGCTGGCACTGCAGAGGGCTGAAAGAAACCGGCGTGAGAGGTGCGGGCTGCAAACGAGACGCTCCGGAGCAAACTGCGTTCTCCGTCCGCTGCCCTCCGGCTCCGGCTGAGCCCGGCGCTGCCCGTCGCCCCTTCGGGAGCTCGGAGGTCGCAGCGGCACCGCAGAGCCCGCTCGTGTCCGGGCCGGGCGGGGGCAGAGCAGCTGCGCCACCCGACGGGGCTGCGCGTCCCCCCCCGCGCTCAGCGCTGCCTGCGGAGCTCCGCACAGCGCGCGGGTCGCGAACGCCCTCTGGAGCCCACAGCGCGTTCCTTCTGCCACCCCTTTTCCTGGGGGAGAACGGCGAAACGAGCAGAACCTGACGGAAGCCGATGGAGGCGGAAGCGGCCCCGGCTCTCCTCGGCCGGGACGGGCGCAGCCCGAGGGGGGACGGCAGCTCCTGGGCACCGGCCCGGCTCTGGAGACGGCGGAGGGCTCCGTGGCCGTGTGCCGCTCACCCCAATGTCGGAGCCGGCCGAGCCGCGCGACTCTCCCCGAGCTCTTAGCAAGACGGAGACGCGGCGTTTTCCAGGCGTTCATTAATTTAATTAATACACAGCGGCAGTGCCTGCATTTCCACACACACAGCGGCAGGGGGACACGCGGGCGGACGCGGGGCGGGGATCGCTCGGCGCGGGTGTTCGCGGGGGGCTTCGCCGTGCGCGGGGTCGCGGGCACGGGGCGGGGAGCGGCGGGACGGGGGGAGGAGGAGCAGCTCCCTCGGGGGTCGGGAGGAGCCGTCACCGGGAGCTGCGGCCGGGCCGGGTGTCAGCTCCCCCCGCAGCCGCGTCCCGACGCACCGCATCACCCCGCGGGGCGGCGCGGAGCGGTGTGAGCAGCGTCGGCAGCGGGAAGCGTCGGCAGGGAAAGCTGGTTTTCCCCTGCAAGCGGCGGGGCAGCAGCGGTGCGGGCGAGGGGCGCGCAGCCTGGATGCAGCCGTGAGTTCGCCTCATCCCGGCTCACCGAGCGCCGTCCCGGTTCAGAGCGCAGGACGGCGCGCACGGATGGAAGCCCGGCGGATGGCGGCCGCCGTCCCGCAGTGGCAGCCAGGAGCGCTCCCAGAACGCTGCGGCTTACACGGAGCGGCGGGCACAGAGGTGATGCGGGATTTGCACCGTCCCACGTGCAGCGGGGCTGCGGTGCCGCCTCTTCCCCTTCCCCGGTGCTTGTGGACCGCAGAGCGGGACAAGGGGCAGAGATGTCCACCCCAACCCTCGCTTCTCCTGGCCGTGGCTGAGCACCGGCACGTTTTCAGCCCGCCGGGAGCCCGCAGTGCTCCCGTCACCACGCACCCACTCCTGGTTGCACCGCCCAGGCCGGGCTCTCTGCTGCTCGGGCCGCATCCCACGCCTCGCCGCAGTCCCTCCTCCAGGCTGGAGCTGCCGCTGCCCTTGGGAAGCAGTCTGCACCTGTGAGCTTTGCGTTTTTGTTTTAATTTTGCACGATTTCTCTGTTTCAGGGCACTCTGCAACGCTGCAGCAGCACCAGCCCGGATGGGGGATGGGGGTACGGGGGGAATGGGGAGCACGGGGGCACGGGGTGCACACAGCAGTGCTGAGGGGAAACCCCCCCCCCGCTGCTCTTCGCTCAGGGGTTCCACCTGCGGCCCCGCTGTGCACCCGGCTGCAGTGCTGAGGTGCTGGGAGTGGAGGGGAGGAAACCCCCCGGGGAACTCTGCCATTTCCACAGGCGGCCGCCTCACTCAGCTCCTCCCAGTGCCCCGGGGGGGGGCAGAAACCCAACAGGCGCCCAACAGCCCAAGAGCGCCTGAGGTGAGGAGCAGGAGCAGCTGATGGGAGAGACCTCGTGGTGATCAGGAGAGCAGCTCCGTGCAGGGAGCACGGGGTGCCTGGGGGGGCTCAGGCAGAGCTGGCACTGACCACGCCGTCACAACAGCACCGAGGGGACGGCGCCCACTGAGACGCCCAGCGGCCCCAAGCCTCCGTGCAGCGCTTGGAGCCATGCTGGGGGGGCTCAGGGCACGGAGAGCCCCGCAGGGCAGCCATGGGCGGGGGTCCCGGGGCGCGGGGGCTCACGTGAGGGCGTTCTCGGCCCTGTGGGTGCGCTGGTGGAGCTTCAGGGAGCCCTTCTGGCTGAAGCTCTTCCCGCACTCGGTGCAGGCGAAGGGCCGCTCGCCGCCGTGGGTGCGCTGGTGTGCGGCCAGGCTGCTCCGGCAGCCGAAGGCCTTCCCGCAGCGGGAGCAGGAGAAGGGGCCGCCTGCTGCCGTGGGACCACCGGCTTCCTCATGCAGCTCCGAGCCCGGCGAGCGGCTGCAGGCGGCGGCGCTGGTGGCCCCGGGTTGGTCCTCGGCGTGGGTGCGTTGGTGGTTGAGGAGGAAGCGCTGCTCGCGGAAGCGCTTCCCGCAGCTCCCGCAGGAGAAGGGCTTCTCGCCGCTGTGGATGCGCTGGTGGGTGAGCAGGTTCTGCTTCAGGCTGAAGCTCTTCTGGCAGACGTCGCACTGGTAGGGCCGCTCCCCGGTGTGGATGCGCTGGTGGATGATGAGGTTGTGCTTGAGGCTGAAGGCCTTGCCGCACTCGGCGCAGATGAAGGCGCGCTCCCCGGCGTGGTGCTTCTGGTGCCGGGCGAGGCTGGGCTGCTGGCCGAAGCACTCCCCGCACAGGATGCACTTGAACTCCTTCCCCGCCGCCTCCTCCTCCGCCTGGCTGTGGATCACCAACGCCTTCTCATCCCCAAAGCCCTCCTCGCCGCCGCCGGGAAAGGCGAAGCTGTTCTCGCCCGCGGGCGATGCCAGGTCCGTCATGGGCGCACGATGCCCGGCTCACGGCGCCCGCATCCCTGGGGGCACAGAGAGGGGCGGCTGCAGCTCCCAGCCGTAACCCGTGGGGGTCCAACGACACCCAGCACTCCCCGCGCCGCCGCTCCGGGGCCGGATGCCCTCATGGTGGCTGCGTTCCCCCCTGCTAAGCTTCACAACCACACCTGACCGTGGGGGGCAAGAGGGGACCCAGGGCCGGGGCCGTTCTACGGCGTCATCCCGCCGGGGAGCAGCGCTGGGGCCGCAGGCTCGGGGAGGGGGAGGGGGGCGCTGCGCGATCTCGGCGGATGGGCACGGGATGGGGGTCCGGGTGGGGTCAAGATGGTCCGGATGGGGCTGCGACAGAGCCGGGATGGGGCCGGGCCGCGCCGCATTGCGCTTCGGCTCCGCGCTGCCGCACCGCCCCCCCGGGCCGAGCCGAACCGAGCCGTTCCCCACACCCCCCTCCCCGGGCCTCCCCTACCTGCTCCCAACGCTGCGCTCCGGGCCCGGCTCTCTCCGTGCGCTCCGTGTGCTCGCTGCGCATCCCCCGCCCCGCGCGTGACCGCGGCGCTCCCTACGCTCGGGGCCGGGCCGGGCCCTGCGCGGTGCCGCCCCCAATTCGCGATCCCCCCCTCCTTCCCTCCGCCCCCCGCCGCCGTGCCTCCCGGTGCCGACCTGCCCCGCTCCGCGCTTTGTGCCGCCCGCTCCGGCCCCCTGCTCGTTCCTCCGCCCGCGCTCCCGGCGTCGCCCCGCGGCCGCGGTCACGCGTGGGCTCAGCGCCCGCCCCGCAGCCTCGGCCCCAGCGGAGGGAGGCACCCCCCCGGCGGGATCGGGTCGGGCCGAACCGATCCACCCACGAGTGGAATTTCTGCTCTTTTGCAAAGGGAAACCCCGAGCGGGTGGAAAACAAAGGGGTTTCCACGCTGCAGCCCGCGCTGCTGGGCCGGGAACAAAGGGTTCTGGGGAGGTTCTGCGGGTTCTGCCGGGAGCTGCAGTCCGTGCCGAGGGGCTCTGCCGGCACCCTGCGACGCACGGAGCTCCCCAACCCCCCCTCCCCCGCTCACCCCCGAGGGCGCAGCCCCCCGCCGCAGCTCCTGGCGCTGCTTTTGGCAGCGCCGGTCGGCACCGGAGGACGGTGGCACATGGCAGAGGTGCCGCCGAGCATTGGGGTGCGCGGGGGGAGCAAAATGGAGATCCCACGCGTCAGTGGGAAGGGCCCTAATTTGGTTGGAACGGCACGAGGCTGCAGCAGGGCTCACCAGAGCAGCCAAGGCCACGAGCAAAGCGCAGCGCTCGGGGTCCCGTGTAGGACGGGCGCTGCTGGGATCAGGCCTCAGGCGCCCGGTGCACGCAGGCTGTGGCTTGCCAGCACTGCTGCACCCCGCACAGCTTCCTGTTGTGCCGTTGCCCAGACCTGCCTGGCCATGCATGCCTGCGTTCCTGGAGCGGCTGCTGACACTTCCCCAGCGCGGCGGCAGGACGAGCCTTTGTGCCACCAGCGTGCTGAGTTGGCCGCTTTGCTGCCGAGGGGATGGAAACAGGAACTCGGCTCCGAGGATCTCAGGCTCGCAGCAGGAGCCTGGGAGCTGGGGCACAACGAGGGACACGTCGGGTTGCATATTAGGAAAGGTTCAAGTTGGATACTGGGAAGGATTTCTTCTCCAAAGAGCAGCTGGAACTGGCACAGCTGCCCCGGGGGAGGGAAGGTCACTGTCCCTAGGAGTGCTCAAGGACCTTGGGGATGCGGCATGGAGAATGTGGTCGGTAGGCATGGTGGGGGTGGGGGTTAGACTTTCATAAGGTCTTTTCCAACCCCCCTTTTTCTATGACCCCCCCTCCCAGTGGAATCGTGACCACAGCCAGATGGCTGGCAGCTCAGGGGAGGGTGAGGATAGTGGAGATACGGAGCACAGCCCAGGTGCCTTCTGCCTGTTGGTGGGAGGTGGAGCAGCAGGACGGGACGGGAAGGAGCAGCGTGGGACAGGACAGGGCCTGCACGTCTCCACGCACCCAACGAGCAGCATTCCAGCAGCTCCGCGCCCCAGGATCCCATCCCAGCCACCCAGCAGGGACCGCAGCCAACAGAATGGGAAGGAGAGCAAAGGCCCACGGCGCTCACAGGGCTGCAGTGGCAGGGAAGTGAAGGCGCTGCTCACGGGCAGGCGTGTGGGGGCCAGGGCCTGCCTTGATGCACAACTCACAGCAGTGACAGCGCTGGGGGGCTGTCGACTCTTGGTGGGGAATGAAGGGGAGGACAAAGCGCAGCCCCAGGAGGGGCAGCCCCAGCTCAGCTGCTGGCTTTAAGAAGCACCACAATCCGATGCAGCTTTACTGACGATCTGCTGCCTTCACCCCTTCGCTGTGTGAGACTTTTGCTAAGAGATGCAAAAGCCAAGAAGGCCTCTGCAGGCAGCTCTGCCAGCAACACAGTTATAAAGCGCACCAACACGGATGGGCGAGTGGCTCCCACCCCCAGGACAGGGGCAGAGTGCCGTCCCGCAAAGGAGGAGGCAGGAAGCTGCTGTGAGTAAGCTTTTATTTTAAATAACCTCAAAAAAATAGAGTTGCAAGGACCTGAAACGTCGCTGGAGCGTGATGCTGGGTGAGCGGGGCTGAGCGCTGCAGGGAGCAATGCCCACTCCCTGCCTGAGGATGGAGCCAGGGACCCCACGCCAGGATGCCACCATCCCTCGCGTGGCCGTGCCACCAGCCGGGCACTCTGCTAACAGAAAACATCCTTACCCAGCACGCAGGTCCAGCGGGGCCGTCCCGGTGTGCCCTCCTGGCCGCTCCAAGTCCTGGGGCTGAGCAGCTCTGGTTACGGCCTGCTCCATCGCTGCCCATCAGGGCCACCGCGCCGCTGCCCCAGGCTGCGTCCCTCTGGGTGTTGGACATCCCCAGGAACGGAGACCCCACCTCTGTGCTGGGCAGCCGGCGAGGCGCTTGCTCACTGCACAGCAAGCAGCCTCCCTCACACCGTGCCCCCACAACACAGGGAGCAGGCGGCAGGCAGAGCGCACCCAGGATCGCGCCGGGCACCGCCGACAGCACCCGCATGTCCTCAGCGAAGGTCTTTGCCAAACCATGGTAGCAAGGAGGCTCTGCAGCTGAGCGAAGCGATAGGGGCGTGCTGCTAGGGCTGGGGCTGCACGGCTCACAGCGCGAGGGGAGCAGCGGCAAGCCGGGCCCTCTGGGCACAGCAGGCGAGATTTGCTTCCCCTTTTATGCGAAGCGCGTTTCCAAGCGGGAACAGCTTCCAGGCCAGCAGCTCCCATCCCTAAAGCTCTGCCCCACAGCCCTGCCCCAGCCAGACAGCTCCACACTGCTCGCCCACCAGCACGGGCGCAGCTGTGGGCAGTGCAGACACCGCTGCCCGGCACTCCTGGTTATCTATGCAGAAGTTAGGTGAGTACCAGAAAGAGGCGCTACTCAGAAAGGTTATCCATAGAGCAAGTACAGAAGCGGAAGCTACATTCCCCATCCCCACCCCCCATATTCACCCTGTATTACCCCTCCCGGCTCGGAGGAGATACTTAGCTGTGATCCTCCAGGGTCCTCGAGGCAGGAAGGGACCCGTCGCTGCCCTCTGCAGCTCGCTCATCCCCAGCGAAGCTGCTCCTCTGCCCACGCTGGTGGGCAGCCAATAGCGGGGCACAGCTCTCCGGCCCTCAGCCTTTTTGTGGAGGGACGTCAGTCTGGATGCTGAGGGCAGAGGGCTCCGGCGGAAGCTCCCAGCCCACCAAGGCCCCTCTGTGCCCCACGCCAGGTCTGCATGTTGCAGGACTGCAACGCTCAGCCTGGAGCCAGGCCCCAGCAGACATGCCTCTGCCCGGCCTCCTGCACGGCAGAAGCGATCCTTAAGTCAGCATGCAGGATCCCGAGCTCCTCCCCACCCCGCACAATCCAACTCTTCACAGACAGGTGCTGGCAGAAGCGCTGCAGACCCATGATCCGGCACCTGCTGCTCCTCAGCTCCACCCGCCTTACAATTTGGTATGTTCAAAACACAGAAAGCTCGCGCGTTGTGTCCAAGTCCATCCACTGCCTCGTGACCAACCTGCTGCATCTCACACCCCACCTCCAGGGTGCTTCACTCGCAAGTGTCCTGTTCACAAGAACCACCACAGTCCTCCCGAGCCCCGCAGGCTGGGACGCGCAGCCTGCCCTGCCTCAGACTCTTACAGGTCCGCAGTCGGTCAGCAGTTGGCTCCTGGCATGAGCTCCCACCGAGCCAGGTTTGGTGTCCCTGCCGCAAGAGCAACAAGGTGCGGTCCCTCGCTTGGGTGGGCGCGTGGCAGCGGGCGCGTTACAAGCAGCTCGGGCACGGCGAGGCTTTCTCTTCGCTGTGCGCTCTCTCAGGCACTCTCAGGACTCTCTTGTCCTCAAAGCTTCTTCCACAGCCGCCGTACTTGCACCAGATCTCAGCACGGCAGTCATGCTGGGGCTTCAGCAGCAGCTGCCTCTGGGTCACGCAGTCGGCGCAGCAGCACTGCGGCTGCAGGCTGGGCTTCCCACCCAACCCTTCCCCGCCCTCGGAGCACTTGCAGGGGCACTGCCCAGCGGGCGCCTCCTGTGGGTGCTGCGAGCCAGACACCAGGTGCTGCTCTTCCTGCATCAGCTGCAGAAGGATGTCTGCGGCCCCGGATGGGCTCTCTGCTCTGTTTGGGCCGGGCTGCGCTCCCGGCCGGAGCTCCTCCCGCGGCAGCGATCCCTGCACGGCTCCACGGGAGCAGGGCGGCAGCAGCGCGCCAGGCGGCGCGGGTCCCTTCCCCAGGGCAGCGCTGGCGTCCGGCTCGTCGCGGTGTGCCGGGCAGGTCCCCTCGCAGCAGGAGGGCGGCACACCACCGGTGTGCGTCCGGCGGTGCCGGAGGAGGTGAGCCTTCTGGCTGAAGCCCTTCCCGCACTCGGCACAGTGGAAGGGCCGCTCCCCGGTGTGGGTCCTCTGGTGCACAGCCAGGTTCACCTTCTGCCGGAAGCGCTTGCCGCACTCGGCGCAGGCGTGCGGCCGCTCGCCAGCGTGGCCCTGCCGGTGCAGCTGCAGCTCGCCGTGCTCCTCAAAGGACTCCCCGCAGAGCGAGCAGGGGTACGGGCTGCCGGGGTGGCTCTGCAGGCTGGGCGGGGTCTGGCCGGGGCCCGGCTCGCTCTGGGGCCGCTCCACCACGTGCACGCGCTGGTGGACCCGGAGGGAGAGCTTGCTCTTGAAGCGCTTGGGGCACTCCAGGCAAGTGAAGGGCTGCCTGCCCGAGTGGGTCTTCTGGTGGGCGATGAGGTTGGGCTTCTGGGCGAAGCGCTTGCCGCACTGGGTGCAGGCGAAGGGCCGCTCGCCGGTGTGCGTGCGGTAATGCGTCACCAGGTTGCCCTTCTGGTTGAAGCGGCGGCCGCAGACGCCGCAGGTGAAGGGCCGCTCGCCGGTGTGGATGCGCTGGTGAGTCACCAGGTTGGTCTTCAGGCTGAACCTCTTCCCGCAGACGTCGCAGCGATAAGGACCCCGGCCCCGGTGGTTCTGGCGGTGCTTCACCAAACGCTCATACTGCACGAAACTTCTCCCACACTCGGGGCACAGCCAGGCTCTCCCCTCCATGTCTTTCTCTGGGGGAGATTTGGTGGACAGCTCATCTCCAGAGCTCTTGTCGTGCTCGGGGCACTGGTAGGACTTCTGCCCCACGTGAGTCTTCTGGTGAGCAACCAAGGAGATCCACAGGCCAAAGCTGTTGCCACACTGATTGCAGATGAAGGGCTTCTCCGCTCCGGGGGTGGGCGGTGTGGGGGCCGTGCCGTCCCCGAGGACAGGCTGCACCCCCAGGTGCCCCAGGAGGTGTGGGCCGGGGCTGAAGCCTGCAGCGCAGCCAGCAGGAGCCTCGGTGGTGGGGCCATGCTGCGGCCGGAGCAGAGTCACCTTGGGGCAAAACCCCTCCCCACACTGCACGCAGGGGAAGGCCTGCTCCCCTAGATGGGCCTGCTGCGTGGGCAGCAGCTGCTCCTTCGAGGGGAAGCCCTTTTCCGTGCACGAGTACAGCTCCTGGCCTTCGGGGATCTTCTGAACGGGCAGCGGCGGCATGGAGCTGAAAGGAGCCTCCTGCTCCAGGCTGCCTGGCTGCAGCAGTGTGGGTGCAGCCCCGAAGGGTAGGGTGGGAGCCGGACCCCGGCCCGGGCACCTCCGCTGGCGTGGGGCGTGCGTCTTCTGGTGGGCTTTGAGGGACACCTTGTCCTTGAAGCACTTCTGGCACTGCCCGCAGGGGTAGGGGCGGACATCAGTGTGGGTGCTCTGGTGCGTCACGAGGTTGGTTTTCTGCGTGAAGCGCTTGCCGCACTGGGTGCAGGCGAAGGGGCGCTCGCCGGTGTGCACGCGGTAGTGCGTCACCAGGTTGGTCTTCTGGTTGAAGCTCCTGCCACACAGGAAGCAGGTGAAGGGCCGCTCGCCCGTGTGGATGCGCCGGTGCGTGATGAGGTTGGGCTTCTGGCGGAAGCTCTTCCCACATTCGGGGCACACAAAGGGGGTGTCGTCCTGGTAGCTGCGCTGCGTAGCCCGCAGCTTCGGTTTGCCGGAGCCACCGTCCTCCTGCTCACCCCCCGCCAGCGCCTTCTCGTTGGCGGCGTGGATGCGCTGGTGGGCCAGGAGGTTGGCCTTCTGGCTGAAGCTCTTGCCGCACTGCGTGCAGGGGAAGGGCCGCTCCCCAGTATGCACGCGGCGGTGGGTCAGCAGGTTGGGGCGCTGGCTGAAGCTCTTCCCGCAATCCCCGCACCTGTAGGGTTTCTCCCCGGTGTGGATCCTCTCGTGAGTGATGAGGCTCTGCTTCTGGCGGAAGCCCTTCCCGCACTGGGCACAGCGGAAGGGGCCATTGCCAAGCTGGGGCACCCAGCAGCCCACCCTGGAGGGCAGCGGGCTGAGGCCAGCCGCGCCGTCCCGCTCCGTGCCTGCCCGCTCGGGAGCGCGCTGCCCACCATGGAACCAGCGGCTGGAGCTGCTGGCACCGGTGGGGTACAGCTCCAGAGAGCCTGCAGCAACCCCGGGCTTCTCATCAGGCTGCTCCACCTTGTTCGTTCGGACAGGCTCAACTGGATGTCAAAAAGATTCAGAGCATTAACGTCAGTGTCTTTCGCTTGGCTTAAAGCACCCTAATTAACCAGGGGGTTTAGGACCCTTTCCAGAGCCCTATTCCCCCACGGCTTGGTGAGTGCAGTGCTGGCAGACAGCAGTAATGGCAAAAAGAATCCCATTAGCTGGCCTCAAATGGCTGCAAGCAGCTCTCCAACAAGACCATCGTCCCCCACCAAGGCCAATTTCCAGCAGCCCCACTGAGGACACGAGCGACACCTACCTGCACAGGGGCTCACGAGGATCTTGCTGTCCTCCTGCATCTGCTGGCCTTCAGGGAACGGCTCCTCCGACTGTTTAATACCGAACAAGCCACCGGGCTTGAAAAATCTGTAGCCTGGTTGAAGGGATAAGAGCTGGTCACCATGAACTGTCACACTGCAAAACACGCATTTGGCATACGCATCATTATGCTGGAGATGCCTGCGTTAATTCACAAATAAGCTAAAATTAACTAAGCCTCAGGGCATCGCTTTCATCTATTTTAAGCTTCTGCTGCCTGAAGCATAATTAAAGATAAAAAGAAATACAAGCTCCACGCTCCCTCCTCCTGGCAACGTGTGCTCCAGTGAAAGGTGAGAGAGAACACCGTTCCTCGGCGAACAATGTTCTTTCCAAAGTCTTTCACAAATTCGCCCAAGTATCCTTAGATCTTACCTGATGCTTTTATGACAGGATTTCAAAGGCTACCACAAAAATGCAATTAATTACAACAAGAACCTCCCAAACAGAAGAAAAGGCTACATCTGTACAAGAGGAGCCTCGCTGCCAGAGCGGCTGCAGCGCAGGTGGGGGGTTTCCTCCCCAGGTGCCACACTTGCACACATTTATGTATGGTTTCTACTCCCCCTTGTGCTCCTTCCAGCCCTGCTGCAGCCCCTCCACCGACTGCGCTCCAGAGAATGCAAAAACACAGCGCCAAACCCACTCCCTTGTGGGTGAGCCCCCACCAGCCCTGAGCCCTCACCTGTGCAGGGGTCAGAGGGGATCTCTGCACCCGCAGAACCCAGTTCATGTCCAGCCCTGGGCACCTCGTTCAGCCTGGGGTAAGGCAGCAGGTTCAGGATGTGGGCAGGCTGCTCCAGGAGAGAGGAGAGGTGTTTCAGCAGCTGGCCATCGCTTTTCTGGTTTGGTTCGGTTTGGTTTTCTCTGTTCTCTGCGTTTTCACCACACACAGAAGTGCTTGGCAGCATCCTGGCACCCTGAGCGCTTCCTTGGTCTTTCCCTCGTGCAGGAGTCGGGTGCTAGGAGGTTTCACAGGGACCCCATGATATTTCCCACTGTGCCTCTGACTTGTTTCAGCACAACACAGCTTCCCTATCAGCAGAGCATTGCCTGGCACAGATCCTCAAGAGGAGCTTGTTCTGGGCCGATGCCCCGCGCCCGCCGCCCTCCTGACCTGGGGGAATCCACCCAGGCAACCTGCAGCTGTGACCGCTGAGCCCCAATTCCCAACCAACCCAGGGTCAGGACCAGAGGAGGAGACCTCTGTAAGAGCCCAAAGCATCTCTCCTGCAGAGCTCAGCACCCATCCCACCCAACTTCCCTCCCCAGGACTCCTCTCTTCCTCCCTCCCTCAGAGCTCTGCGGCAGTTTGGCAGGAACGCAAGGAGAACAGATGGCACAAGGCACCGAGACCAGCCAGCGCTCTGAGGACTGTCACAACTTCGAGAAGTGACAATTTAAAAGGAAAAGTCTTGCACAGGACTAGCAGTGCTTCCTTGGGTTACAGCATTTCTAAACGACAAGAAAAGCAAGAAACCACCAGGGGGGTTTCCAGCCCCCGGGAAACCACCAAAAAGCCACCACCACGGAAGCGCCGCAGCACAAAAGAGGATCGGCAGCTCCGCTCCCCCCCGCAGCGCGCTGCAAGCGGCCCTCAGGGATGGAGCACGCCCCGCCACCGCCCCGCCGTACCTGGGGAGCCCCCCCCGCAGACATGGTTCCCCCAGGGCCCAGATGGCACACGGAGGGGACGCAGACTCTCGGGGTGACGCGGGGCGGCGGCTGTCCTCTCCTTCCACCTTCCAGTGCCGGTTTGGAGCTTCCCCAACTTCCTCCAAATGGCTGCGGGTCCCTGCGAGAGCAGAGCAGTGTGAGCGCGGCACGGAGCGGCGCGCAGCGGGAGCGGCTGGGCGGGCGCCTGGACCCTCCTCCTCCTCCGAGCTCTCGGAGGGGAAAGGAAGGAGCCAGCGGCGGGGTCTGGCCTGAGTTCAGAGCCTCTGTTTACAGTGCAGCCTCCCGCAGCCCGTGGTGCTGCTGGGATTTGTAGGCGCGGGGAGGGGGAGGCCGCAGCCGAACGGCCCCGCGGAACGCGGCCATGCCTGGCCGGACTCGCTCTGCTCAGAGCCTGGCACCAACGCTGCGTGCCCCAGACGCAAGGCTTGCCTGGCTGCAAGCTGAGCAGCCTTCATTCCATCTCACGGAGCGATGCTGGTTTTAGGGAAGCCTCAGACAGAAAAAATACATCTGCTTTTGCTGAAGGGCCGCAGGGCTCGCTGCTTCCTCCAGTGGCAGCCCAACACGACAGTCCCTGAGGACACGGTGACAGCCACCGCGCTCCTACGAGTCCCACATCACTTCACAAAGACTCCAGGGTTCACACGTGTCCCAGCCCTGGCCCGGCTAGCACAGGACACTTGATTCAAAAGTGATGCCGTTGATTACAGAACACGATGGCATCAAGAAACCACTGCAATCTCACAGCCTGGGAAACGTCACGTTTCCAGCCAGCTGCCCAGCATCCAAGGCAACACCGCAGTGTCCCCAAGCAGCACCCAGGGCTGGAGCAGAACACTATCACACGTTCAATACTTCCTGGGCCCCACGTCTGTGCTGCCTGCGCCCTACAGACATCATGTGGTGAGAAACTCGAGTCCTTGTGAGGCTTTGTGTGAAAACACCACGTGAGCATCCATGAAAACACCATCTTATGAGCAAACAAGAGCATGACTGGAAGCAGTGCAAGGTGGGTGTGTGACTTCTCTTCCTGCTCAACGGTTAAACCAATCTTGCCCAGCTTTGCAGGGCCACAATTACTACAAGGAAATACGTTCTCTTGAGCCCCAGATGTATTGGGGATGACCTGATAAGCACCTACCCCTAATTAGGAGGGCTATTCGGGGAGATCTGCTGCTGAGAGTACTAGTGGTTCAGTGTGAAAGGAGGTTGGGCTGTGAGGTGCTTTATGCAGTTTGCTGAAACTAATGGCTCTGGGTCCTTGAGAGCACCCAACTGTGCCACTCAGCTAAGAGCTCAGAAACTCTGTATCCTGTGGGCACTGCCACTCAGACACTGTGACACCGCGATACTCTTAACCACATCCATCACGTATCAACCATCACAAGGGGACCAGCCCAGCAGAGGTGAGTGCAGTGGGGGTGGGGGCTGGGATCCCCTTGCTTAGGACTGCTTTGTGGGGCTTCGAGGCCTCTTGGCAAGCCTCTAAGTATCCAGGCAGATGTGTCTGCCTCTCAAAATTAGACTGGATAGCTTCTTAAACTCCAGGTCTATTGATCTCTATACGTCTCTATGCCTTGTACCAGACCTACCTCCGGGTCTGCACGCCTCTAGGTCTCTTGGCCAGACTGTGGCCTCTCTCCAGGCCTCCAGGCCATCCTCTTGGTTTCACACACCTGCACCCCCTGGCCTCCCTGTATGCTACCAGCCCTGTTTGGCCCTGAGATCTCCCTTTGGTCTGAAGGCTTTGAGGCCTTTTGTCTGCCTTCCTGCCTTCCCCCTTGCTCTTCAACCCTCCAGGCCTCAAGGCCTGCACTCCACGTTGCTTGTAGATGTCTCAGCTTTGGGACAGACGGAGAAGAGAGTTCTGAAGCGTGGCAGAAGTTCCTTCACGACGGCCCCGCGGCCGACGCCCGCCTTTCAGCCTCGGTGCCGCGGGGCGGGGGCTCCACACGACATCTCCTCAGCGCTCCCATCCTCGCGACGCGGCCCTCGGCTGCTCCCCGGGGCGAACGGGACGAGCGGCGGGAGCGGGCGAGGCCGGGCCTCATCCCACGGGCGGCCTGCGGAGGGCCCCGGGGCGGCCCGCACCGGGTACGGTCGCTGCCCCCCACCCCGCCCGGAGCCCGGCCACCGCCCCGGTCCCCTCCCGCTCTCCTCAGCGAGGCCTCGCCGCCCCCCGGCCCGCCCCCCTCACCCTGGGCCCGGCCGGGCCCTTGGGTTGCCGTGGCGACGCCCCCCTCCCCCAAGCCCCGGGCCGCCTCCCCGGGGGAACTCACGGCCGCCGGCGTCCCGCGACGCGCTGACGTAGACGCGGCGGTGACGTCAGCACGGCGGCGACGCCGGGAGGCGCGCGCGCGACTGCGGGGGGGCGGGAGGGGGGGGGAGGATGGGAAGGAAAAGGCGGCCGCTGCTCTCCTGCAGTCTCGCGAGAACGCCTCGCCCCGCACTTCCGGCTCAGCGCGCGTGTCCCGCGGCGGCACTCGTAGGCCCGGGGTGGGGAGGGGGGTTGAGGGGGGCGGAAGTAGCGCGCGGCACCATAGACAGCAGAGCCCTGCCAGAGCGCCCGGAAGTGCTACCATAGAATACCGGAAGTGGGCCAGAGCGTCCCACTCTCCCTCCCCCTCCCGATTGCCCGCTACCAATGGGAGGTTTAGTTTGTTTTGGGGGATCCCGGGGGTTCGGATGAGCTTCAATCAGGGAACCCAGCGGTCGCCATTATCAACCTGAGCCGCCTGTTGGTGGTTTTACCAGCCGTTCTGATCCCACAGCTCCCACGCCACCCCTCAGGT